AATAGTGAAAATAATAATAATAATGCACATTAACAATAAAATGCTAGCTCTATGGAATAGCAAAGTGAGATTTGTCTCAGTTTCAGTTTTGGGGGTTATACTTGTGCTCCTCTTTTCAATCTGTCTCTGGATGCTTTGTAACTCCACATCTTATTGTTTCAGTTGTGGGAAGAAAAAAAGGAAAGAAGAGAGAGGAACAAAAAAGAAAGAAAAAATAGGCCTCCTGCTGACTTTAAACCTGTTCAATGAGCTCTTCTGTTCTTCCTAGGTGCCACAGGAAGAGGGGCTGGGCTTTGCTTTTCCCCCTGTGGTTTTGAGAGGATGGGAACCAGGCCTGGGCCACAATATTCACAATGTCTTGGCCTCCAGTCCAGGTAGTCCTTGAGCTACCAAGCTCATATTGGACACTCAGCCTCTGGGCATACAGTGCAAGAGTAGCCCAGGCACAGGGTTCCACTGGGCCACTCATTCTCTGGGCCGGAGCAGCTCAAAGTACCCTCAGGGCAAGGCAGTCACTGCTCAATAGTTCCTTACAAAGCAGCTGTTCGCCATTCTTAACAAGCACACGGCTTTTCACACAGCCCAGCTTTCCAGCCAGTCTGGAGACTATATGAGTCAGGGTCCAGCGAGGCCCAACTCCTCTCTTCTCCAAGTGTCACCTGGCACCTCAGTTTCTCTGGTGCTGGCGTCCACAGTCCCAGCACATGTATACCTCTTCTGTGTGTCTCCCACTTGGTCTCTATTCCCCTCAGTGACTTCTAGCGTCCAGGTCCCTCCCAGTGTAGAGTTGCCTTCCCTGCTCTGGTAGGGGAAAGAGTTGGTGATCTAACTCTCCTCCTGGTATCCTGCAGCAGGCACCGGGCCAGGGGCACAGCAGCCCTGGTTCCTGTGCCGATCCCAGGGACCTTACCGTCCCAGCACAGTCTCCTCACTGTCTGTTTTTTAATATCCTCTGCAATTTTTGGCCTCCAAACTTCATACAAGCTGGATTCCATTGGCTGTCCACTCTGTTGCTCAGAAGATTGGCTAGGTGATCTAGCTGGGTACAGGGAGAACTGGGCTCTGCTCCCACTTACCTTGCTGCCGTCTTCACTCTCCCAGGACTACTATAGTTTTTAATGTTAATTTTATATCGTATACTTTTTGAAATTCTCTGACTGCTTTAAGTGTTTTTTTCCCATTTATTTACATTTATTATTTTGGTTTTTTTCATAAGATGCTGCATTTGATGTGTATACAGAGTGGGACAAAAGTAGATTTATGGTTGTGAGTACAGAAAAGAGTTTATTCTTATATTATTGTTTATTAATTTTTTATTATTTTCCATATGAACTACTGTAAACCTACTTTTGCGCCACCCTGTATTTAAATTTAAGAATGGAAGATTTTAGAGTCTTGTTTTTTGGGAATCAAATTTCTAAAAAACAAACAAACAAAAAAGACTTTTTGAGTCTCTTGCCTGAGGGTATATATAATCCTAGCTGTCAGCATTCTTTGAGCTAGGTTGGAGGCATCTGAGTGTATGAACTATTTAGTATATGGTCTTTCACTGTATCTAAACCTCTGCTTAATCTGTCTTTGTTAAATATAGGACTTAATCTTAAGATTTGTTTTTTTCTGAGTAAAAATCCTGTTTTGCAATCCCCACATAATAATCCTGTAGTCAGGAGCAGATCTCAGTTTTGTGGGGTCAGAAATTTATGCAATTTAGGGGCTTTAAGAGAAAGAATAAAAAGTATCTTTGTTTGCAAATTAAAATGACCATTCAAACACATATCTTGGGCCCACTCCCAGGGCTTTGGAAGGGGCCCCAACAAGTACTAGTGTTACTGGACAAAACTGGGATTTGGTTGCCTGCCATCAAACACAGGCAAACTCTGGAGGCACAGGTTTGGTGAAAAAGGAAATGAGTTGTTTATTCAAAAGCTATGTAATTTTGGAAGAGTGGCAAGCTTCTACCTGAGAGCCTATCTCCTTTAAAATCCCCAAAGAAAAATGATCCTGCCATCCTTTGCCAGGCCAGACCAGCCCAGCCCTAGGCTGCACTCATTGAGTTCTTTTCCCATTTAAAAATACTGGCCTTTGGGAAATGGCAGGTTACCAGTCACATTTCAGCTTCAGCCATCTTTTGGAATAACACCAGCATCCTATTCACTGTGTACTGCCCTTTACTCCACACACTGCCCATCAGCCGGGTGCCTGTGCCTATCCCTGTGGCCACCATTGGCTTGCCAGTGTATATGTGTGTCCAGCCGAGCAGGACCATGTAGTGAGTGCATCACCAGTCGCCTACACTGCCAGTGCTTTCCATGCTGGGACCGGTATGGGAACTCTGCTAGACCACATGGTCTCCAGGGCCCCCAAAGGGGCAAACAGAGGGAACCAGAAGCATAAGTCTCTGTGAGCCCTCCAGTTAGGAGTCAGGGCCCAAAATTCTAAGCATGACAGAAGGGTGCAGCTTCTCAGTCAATCCAGCCTAGCATCTGCCACATTCATCAATCTGTGCTGTATAGAGACAGCCCTCCTCCCACCACCGTGTTACCCTCCTAAGTACTTGTGTATTGTGAACTTTTCAGCACATGCATACTCTGTGCAAACTTCCTGTTGCTGTGTTGCACCACACTGCTTGGGTTGCCAAGGCAACATATGCTGACACTGGGCTCCTTTGTTTACCTTACTGGGGGGCCCGTATGGAAATCTGTCACAAAGTTTCAGCCCACCACCTCTGGCACTTCTCCACCCCTGCTCAGGGGTCACTCACCTTTGCCCAGCAATCTGGCAAGATCAACCCTGTACCATGAGGCCCTGAAAGCTAAAGATTACTTAATTTCATGGTAAATCTAAATTAGCCCCCAATCTTCTCTAATTCTGTCCTACACATTGCTTAGTAGGATAGAATTAGGGAGAGATTTGGGAGTCTAAATCACAAACATAATTTGACTCAAAAAGACTTTGACCCCAACTTCTGTAGGTACCTGGTATTATCAGTTGCTAACCTTTTTAAGGGGGAGTTTGTGGTGATAAGCTTGCTTCTTAGCTTACTTCATTCCTGTTTTCAGCATTTTGGGGTTTGCCAAATTATTACAAAACAGAGGTACAAGGGGGGGCAAATTTGGCTCAGCCAGGGATACTAAAAACTGTTACAGAACAACAGGAGCCCCTCCCAAGGACAGTATACTAATACTGTCCTGACCACCTACTGGGCTCGTCTGTCCGCCACCAGAGGAAAGACATCTCTCAATGCCAGAGATTTGTGAAAAGGAAAGGAAAGCTTTATTTAAAGCTATACAGACTTAAAGTAGTGACCCAGTGTCCCCATTAATATATCAAAGTCCTTTAGGACACCCACAGACGCCCACAGCACTCACTTCTCCCCCTGCCCTAATTTGGGGTACTGTAACTCAGGAAAAGAAGCACACGTCCATTTTTTAGGCTGCTGGCACTGTCAGCTGTGTAGCCATTCAGGCAGGATCTCCAATTACTCCAAAGCCATGTGGCACCTTCTCATGGTCTATTGGCAAGAGTTCTTTGTACCCATTTTCCAGGCAAAGTGTCTCCTGCTTCCCAGGCTACATGGCCAAAGGGAGCACCCCAAAGCCACATGGTCCTCTTCTACCAAAGCTGCAGGGGTCTGCACTCTGCCCAAAACCACATGGCGCTTCTCTCCATCAGAGCTGTGGAGAGGGTAGGGTTGCCACTCTGGCAAAGCTGAGTGGTGGTTCTCTGCTAAAGTCACATGGTGATTCTCTCCACTCCCAGCTGCGGGGGTCCCCACTCTGTCCAAAATCGCGTGGCCCTCCCTCTCTACACTGCCACAGCCATGTGGTTCCCTCTCCTTCTCACATGGCTGCAGGGGTCCCCACTCTGGCAAAGACGTGTGGTTCTCTCTCAATGACTGCCTTGTCTGGGTTTAAATACCCACACCAATCTTCCTCTGTACCCCCATTTTCAACTCCTCCCACAATCAGTTACACCTGCCAGCATTCCTGTATTATTTCAGGTTTACTGGGCTGCCATCCTGAGTCTGGATAGGTATGGCCCCATGGCATGGAGCCAATCATCTCCAGGCTCTCATGCAGGCACCGTAACTCAGGAAGCTGCCCCCAGTCTTGGGTGGAAGTCACTTCCATCCCCCTGGCTCAGAGCATGACCACAGCTATTTAACATATCTATGGAACCAGTGAAAGGTTATAGATATGTTAAATGACCATTCCAGAGGTTAGCTGTGAAACTGTTGCTGTGCAAAACAGCTCAGCTCCCAATGGCCCTGCTCCATTTGTCCCTTCCCCCAACTTACCCCTCCTCCCCCCCACAGGTGTAAGGGGTGAAGATATCTTATATGTCTTTATAATATTTTCTGGGCACCTTGAGTTCTGGATCCCATTCCAAATCCCTTCTTTGGGGGGCCTCCCTCCTGGCTGCACCCTGTTACAAAATCAGTTTTCAGTGTTCAAAATGTTGATGCTGTTGTCTCCTTTACCAATCTTGTTATTCTTTTGAGTTTATGCCATTAAAAATGTGCTTTTCTGTGTTAATAAGTTTCAGAAAGGAGCAGAAGTTTAGGTGTGTGCTTAACCTCCATTCTTAACCCAAGATCAGAATGTGCCAAAATCACATTCCAAGATTGTCTTCTTCCCGCCCGCAAATGGTTGGGACACTTGACCCTGTTAGCAGCACAGCCAAAAAATATCCACTTACCCTTGCCAACATTCCATATTCTCAGAATTTCCCAATCTGGTTAAACTATCTCATTATTCAAATTTGCATTTCCCTAACTACTACTGAGGTTCAGTATAATTGTATATTTTTTGGTCCTTTGTGTTTCCTCTTCTATGAATAAACTCTTCATATAACTCACCCATTTTTCTAATAAGTAGCAAAGGGGACTAGAACACACTAACCAAAATACCCCATTTTGGCATACTGATTGAGCTGAAAGCAATTGAGAAAAAGCAAATATAAGAAGGGCTGTCTTACCTTCCTCTTTCTACCTGACACAGGACACAGAGACTTTGCTGTGAGAAGGACGCCCTCCATGGAACAGGAAGCGGAGAACATCCTTATCACTGAAGACAGGAGTCGAAGCAAGATTAATGTGCATAAATAAACTTTATTAAAATAAGCCTCATGTTTAATTAGTTATCCTCATATATTTCCTAATCAGTTTCCCACAATTTATCAACCCTACCCCAAAGCCCTTTTTTCTGACATGTCAGTCTTCACAATTTATCATTCTTTGTTAAAATGGTGTGAAAGCTTTCAAGTTTATCTGCTTCTTTGGGGTTTTATTTCTTATATAGGAAGGCCTCCATGTATATATAAAAATATTAATTTCAAAAGAAGTCTGTAGCCTTGACTGGTGTGGCTCAGTTGGTTGGGAATTGTTCCACAAAGCAAAAGGTCACTGATTCAATTCTGTCAGGACACATCCCTAGGTTGTAGGTTGGTCCTGGGGGGCACATACTAGAGACAAGTGATCAGTGCTTCTCTCTCACATTGATGTTTCTTTCCCTCTCTCCCTATTTCCCCCTCTCTCTAATACATAAATACATACATACATACACACACACACACACACATATATATATATACATACATAAAAGCGTATGTTTTGTTCTTGTTAATATCTCATGTAAGTTTGTCAGGTTCAGCCACAGAACCTAAGAGGGTAGAGAAAATATCCTTTCTCTCTTACAGCAGTTTATCTTTTATTGAATAGTTCATATTTATCCACTGATTTGAAGTTCATATTTATTAACTAAGTACTGAAGACTTATTTGGGTGGGTATTTTTTAGTTTCTGGATTCTCTATGTTTTCCCATGGATTTTACATCTGACTTATTAGAAGCTTTTCAAAACTGCTCTTCATATAGTAAATATCCTTGCAAAAAATCAAATGAGAATTTGTTAGCATCATAAAAAATACCAATTAGAGATTGAAATAAAATGTCCACTTTAATATTTGTCACACAAATGTGTACTTACATTTATCTGAAAATTATGAGAACAACTTGTGCATGTCAAATCCATATTACTATCCATATGAGAACTACACATAATCATTTATTTACCTGTATCAGGCTGACATACAAGGTTTGTGTTTAAGACCTCTCAGTTAAAAGGAAACACTAAATAATAAATTTCCAAGGTTCAGTTATTAACAATAAAAACAATAAAAATTATTTCTCGATGTCTTACATTTTTACAATTTTGAATTATACTTACATGCTATCATTTCCAAAAAACAAATTACAACAAGGGTCACTGTCAGGGTGATATATATTTTTATAGCTTTTTAAAAATGTGCTATTATTATGCTTTAACATCATTTTATTTATTTTTGGCACATGTGGCATGTTGGAAATCAAAAATACATTTTGCCAATTTTATGTTATTGTGCAGGTATAAGAGAAAGAGCACAATTTAGGAGGCAGACAGACCTGTGTTCAATTACCAGCTTTGTCCCAAGTTGTGTTGTGTAAGGCTGGCTGGTCAATAACTTTTTGGCGTTGGGGCCAGGATTCAATTAAATAATGCTCCTTTAAAAATTCATCGCATGGGCACCAATGAGTGCTAGACACTTTCTCCAATTTATTCATATTGAAGCAACAGTAAAATATCACAGCCTCATGTTTTGATACAATCTAAAAACAAAAAAAATTTTTAAATGTTTTGAAAAATTGCACTTTTAAGAAATAAAGACTTCATCAGGTTTAAATAATTCTCAGTAAAAGTTAGTGCCTACTATACCCTGATTTTAAAAAAAGGTATGATAAAATGGTCAATGGTTAAGGACTTTTGGTTTTCTTTTGTGCTAATATAAAAATAATGGCTATATTTAAGGCTCATTGATTGTTCATAGTTGCCCTGAACCAAATTTATATTCTTGATGTTGCACTATCAACTGAAACAGACCTACTACCTTGAATGACTATCAGAGAAATGCACATGATATTCTACATTTGAACAATCATGGCCTCCTTAACTGATTTCAAGTAAAGGTTCATTTGGTAACATGTGGTGGTACAGCCTGTTATTAAGGATGATTCTTACATATACAGTCACAAACTCATCTTTCTTATGCTAAATACTTGGCGTTTGGAAGATGTGACATTCCTGAAAATTAAACTGTTAAAGAGACTAGCCTCCTCTAGACAGCAATGCTTCCATCTTTATCTTGTATCTTTTTATTTCTACCCTGACCACCTAAGAAATCATCCTTCCAAATCTGACTCAAAAACCCATCCTACAGGAACCTTTCCCTAACCAAGTTTCACACCCACCCATTTATGTCCCTGACACTCATGTGTAATTTGTATCAACTTCAACCTGCATATAATATTATTCATATTTTCTTTGTCTTCTACTTCCAGTTAGGATATAGTCTCTTTGATTTTTTAAGTTTCCACAGTGTTTAGACAATGCTGTGTATATATGTATGTGACTGTGTGTATGCATGTGGGTGTGTGCACATGTGTGTTGTGTGAATAAAAGATTAAAGAACCTGGGATAGGTGTAGGGTAGAAAAAGCTTCATAATTTTTCAGAAATCAATTGTCAAACCTTCCTAAAACTAAAAATCTGATTTTCAAAACTTTCAGTTTGGCCTTGACATGTCAATAATAAAAAGGCAGTGAAAAAACTTTTTAAAAACCTTCATGAAATAGTCCAAAGGTTTCTTAAACAAACTATTAAGAGCACCAAACTGAAATATTTTACTAAATAGTGGTAAAATATTTACCATAATTTTACAAATGCAGACTTCATTTCATTCAAGACAAGGAATACTGAACAGGAATAGGTGTTGTGAATCAGGATTAAAAAGGCAATTCACTGTAAGTCAATAGCTAATGCAGTTAATTTGATAAGCCTTTTGTGGTCCGTAAGTATGTTAAGTAAAAGAGTGATGTAGATCAGGATGTTGTAGATCTCTAGTTGTACTGTAAAATACGACACATACTGAAGCTGCTGTTGTACAAGTAAAATTCTGCTTATAATAGCTGTTAATATGAAAATAGGATATAATAAAAATTATTCTCAATGTGTATATTTTTCAGGTTTACCTGACAGTGTCCTTTTGAGAAATCTGACAATTTGTTGTTAGATTACAGACATTTGAATTTCACTTTTATGATTGAAAATAATACACATACATAATAACAACAATATATAACAGCTTTTTACTGAAGCACTCTGCAATTTACATTTAAAGCTTTGCAATAAAACAAAATTCATTGTACTTTTGTAAGTAAAATTACACAACATATAACATAGGTAGTAATTACATTAAGAATAAATAAAATGAAGCACAAAAATTCTGTATCATAACAATGGATTGTTTTAGCTGTCATTCTAAATCTTAGCTTGTCTGTCTGTATGAAGTTCTAATGTATTTTAAAGCCCAAAACCTTTACCTTTAAATAATATAATAAAATATCAAATTCGGAGTATAAACATAATACTCTTTATGCCTTTTTTCTCCTAGGTTATTTAGGAAATAAGACAAATGGGAGGCAAGGACAGTTCTCCTGCTACAAAATGTCCCCTTGCTTCCCCGCATACTTTTATGTCACTTCCACAGCAACTATTACAAGATGACAGCTTTGGCAAAATTATAATCTTACTGAAGAGGTTTATTATTTGGAAGAAAAAAATTGAACTAAGAATATTTTTGGCTCATTAACTCTCAACCTTTTTTTGCTAATATACAACAGTAGTATAATAGCACTTTTTGAAATGTTCACCATTAATCATTTTAACTGGAACAAAATGAATTGGATTAAGTTATAGAATTAATCTAAATAGGTTATAAGTATAGGTACTAGGGTGAGGTCCTAGAATTTGTTACCCGTAGGGCTATACTAGCAAGAGATCGCATGGCAAAAGTAGAAACTTTGTGACATATCCCAGCTTTTGCAATATAGTTAGAAGCCAATCGAAAAAGCCTTTCAGCGCCAAAGGTATTAAAGTGCCCAGGAAGCACCTTCTCTACCAGACCTCTGTCCACTAGTTCTATTAGACGTTCACAGGTTCCAACATAGTCATTTATCCTGCTGTATGGGAGCCAATCAATCAGTGATCCATCATATACAACGTCTCCACTGAAGAGAATCTTTCGGTCTTTGTCATGTAAGCAAATACTGCCCCTGGAGTGACCGGGCATGTGCATAACAGTGAGCTGTCTGTCACCAAGGTTGATTACATCCCCTACAAATGGAAACAAAGTTTACAGATAAACATGTTGCGTATGACTTCAATTACTTAAATAGAACATTAAATGGTTTCAAAGAGGTCAGGAAGGATGACACTTATTTTAGTTTTGTTTTTAAAGTACTGCATTCCTTTTATTTATTTTTTGTGAACAATATATTTCTTAATGATTTAAAAATAATTTGCTTGTACTTTATTTCTATTACTTGCTAGACCAGTGTTTGCCAAAGTGAGTAATGTGGAACTGTATTTCTGCAGATTGTTACGATACATAAAAGAGAAGATTTGGTGGTCAAATAATTTTGGAAACTCTTCAAAGAAAATGATGCAGCTTTTTTTCTCCAAGGTTTCTTAGAGCTTTTAATATACTAATATACATTGAGGTCTGAAAAAAGCCCTCAGTTGTCATTGTAACAAGAATGGTTACAATTCTTGTTACAATGTACCACTGTCAATGTAACAACAATGGTTTGCATCACATCTATGTAATGTGGCAGTCAAGGAGAATAAATTGGAATGTGCATGCATGAACAGTGACAACTTTGCTGTACTAGTCAGTGGGGGGTGGTAGACACCTTTGAGTGAGCTTGTGCACTGTATGGCCATTGTATTCAAAATGACTGAGTAGAGCAACAAACCTGTATCAAATTTTGCATTAAGCTTGAACATTTCCCTGCAGAAACTATTCAGATGATTCATAAGGCTGCAGTTATGGGCAATTGGTGATTGGCAGCTTCATCACAACACACCTGATTATGCATCACGTCTTGTGCAGAGTTTTTTGGTGACACAGCAAGTCGCCCAGGTGACTGAGCCCCCTTACAGCCCAGATTTGGAACCCTGCAACTTCTGGCATTTCCCAAAACTAAAATCACCTTTGAAAGGGAAGAGATTTCAGACCATTGATGAGATTCAGGAAAATATGATGAAGCAGCTGATAGTGATTCCAACAAAGGATTTTGCAATGTTTTGAACAGTGGATGAAGTGCTTGGGCGAACTGTGTGAGGTTCCAAGGTGCCTACTTTGAAGGGTACTAAGGCAACAATGTCCTATGTACCACGTTTCTTATATCTTCTTCAATAAATGTGTCACCTTGTCATAGGCCATGGCTAGATACTTTCTGGACAGACCTAGTACATGAGGGAGATGTGGTTGTACACTTTTTCAAACTTATTTGAACACAAAACTTTTATTTTTCAGAACTTCCATGGTACCAGTATCATGGTGACACAATTCATGAATGCTGCTCTAGTGAACAGCATTATATTTTTGTCCCTTGTTTTGTCACCCTGTGGGAACCAAGGCTTGAAGAATTGGTACAAATGATAATGTTCTGAAGGCTGCTATTGCTGTGGGTAATAAACTGCCCTCAGTGTTTAACCCAGGAAACCCATGTCTTCCGTCAGAATCCATTAAACTGTGGCAGACTAAGTAACTTGCAAGTAGGGTAAAATTTCATACTTTTTTTAGTTATTTTACAGGGGAGGAAACTGAGCAATATAAGTGCAAAACTGCTGTTTTTCTGGGTTTAAGTAAAAGTACTAGCCTATGTAAACCATAAGTTAGAAGTTTCATACTGTTATCTCTGGTGCAAATACACAGAAAAAAATCAAAGAAATACAGATACAAAGTTAATAAGGAATTATAGTGTAACAGGATTTGTTAAACATAAAGAAGGAAAAGAGGAATAATCAAAAATGAGACATAGTGAACAACAAAATGGCATATCTAAATACAACTATATCAATAGTTACATTAAATATCAATGGGATTAAGTAATTGAAGGCAGAGATTGTCAAGACTAGATATTAAAAAGCAAGATATATGTCAGTCTATAGAGAAGGAACTATAAGATCAAAGACAAAACCAGGTTGGAAAAGTTATATAAATATTAATTGTAAGGAACTAGAATGGCTATATTAATATCAGATAAAATAAGGGCTTTTATAAGAGAAAAAAAGGTACATTATATGAAGATATATATTAGGTCAATACAGGAAAAAATAAAAATTATAAATTTATATATACCAAAAACAGAGACCAAAAGATATTTTATCTGAACAATGAAAACAGTAACACTATCAAGAGAAATTAAAGAAGACCTAAACAAAAGGAGAGATAATCTATGTCCACTAATTTAAACACTTAAAATTGTTAAGATGGTAGTTAAATTCAATTTTTTCTATAGATCCAATGTCTAACAGAACTTTCTGAGATTATCAAAATGTTCTATAGCAACATGGCTTCAATATGGTATCCACTAGCTACATATAGCTAGTGGCACTTGAAATAAGGCTAGTATAACTAAGGAACTAAAATTTTATTTCTAATCAATCTTAATTTAAATGTGTATTTAGGTAGTCACATGTCACTAGTGGCTTCTGTAATTGTCATGTAGATCTATAAATTCAACAGCATTTCAATCAAAACCTTGACATGCTTTTGTAGAAATTTAAAATCTGACCCTAGAATTTACATAGAAATGCAAATGACCTAGAACAGCCAAAGCAATTTTGAAAAAGTGGTATCAAGTTGAAAAATTTCTACTACCCAATTTTTAAAATTATAATAAAGTTACAATGATCAAGAGTGTGGTGCTGGCTATATGATACACACAATTAATGGAAGAGAATGAAGTCCAAAGAAAAGAACCATACATGGTCAATGGATTTTTGACAAAGGTGTCAACCAAAAGAACTCAGTGGGTATGAGGACAGCCTTTTCAACAGATTGGAACGGGGCAAATGTGGATCCACAGGCAAACAGAGAAGCAAAACAAAAGCTCTCAACCCTTACTTTACAATATTACAGATAATTCAAAATGGATCATAAACCTAAATGTGAGAGCTTCTAGGAAAAAAAATCTTTGTGATCCTGGGCTAGACACAGAGCACCTGTGTAAGACACACACACAAAAACAAAACATAAGGATAAATGACTAATTGGTCTTCATCCAAGTTAGAGAGTTAAAAGAATGAAAATATAAGTCACACACTAAGAGAAAATATAAATTGCATATTTGATAAATTACACAATATAATTTCATTATATAAAAGAACTTACACTTGTAATAATAAAAAACCCCAAACTTGATTTTTTAAAAGGAGAAAAGATTTTAATAGATCCTTTTAACAAAGAAGATATTTGACTAATATGTTCCTGAAAACATGCTCAACATCATTAGTCATTAGGGAAAGGCAAATTAAACCATAATGAAATACTACTACACACTCACTAGAATGGCTAAAATAAAAATGACTAACAAAATCAAGTGTTGACAAAGATGTGGAGAAACTGGAACCCTTATACAATGCAGTCTGGAACATAAATGGTATAACTACTAAGGAAAAACAGTTCTATACCTGTCTTAATATTAACTTATACTTACTGTAAGACCCAGGAATTCTATTCCTAGGTATCTACCAAGGAAAATGAAAACATGTATCCACACAAAGTCTTATATGCATATGTTCTTGACAGTATTATTCATAACAGTCCCAGACTAGAAAGTTTCAAATTTCCATCAATGGTAAATAGATATGTCCACAAATGGATTATTCCTAGACAATGGAAAAGAATGAAATTTTTAAAAATTTTTTGATTTAGAAGAAAACATCAATTGGTTGTTCCACTCATGTACGCATTTATTAATTGATTCTTATATGTGCCCTGACTGGGGACAGAACCCACAGCCATGGCATATTGGGATAATGCTGTAATCAACTGATCTACTCAGCCAAGGCAAGGAATGAATTAACAGATACAACAACATGGATGAATCTCAAAAACATCGTGCCGAATAAAAGAAGATGGACACAAAAGGCTGTAATTGCCTTTGCAGAAAATTTTCAGAAAAACAAACTGTAGTGACACAAAACAGATCAGTGGAGCCAGGAATGAGAGCAGGGATTGTCCTGTCATGTCTCGAATGCCAGTAATTACATTGAGATGGGATCAGATACTCTCAGATTTCCCAGTATTCCAGTTGTAAGGGGCCAGATGCCTTTCCAGGATAATTGTTCCCAATTTAAGATGCTTCTGCGGAATCACAAACTACTGCCATTTACTGTATGATTGGCAGATACGGTAAAGAAATTACAGCTAAGTTGACCTAAAATAGAGTTCTTAAAGACCATTTGTTTATAAATGTATAGAAAGGAGGGGAGTGAGGAACATTTGATCCTAAAAAAGTGCTCTGGAGAATTACCAATGTAGAGTCTTACTGAGCTTCAGTTATGTCCAGGTGATATTCATAGTATTTAGCAACAGAAAAGATGTAAGTGTCCATCTATCAAAACACATACCAACTGTATTAGATCTGCCATTATCCTGTGCCTTTATTACCCTGTTCCATATGCTTATAATGCTCACATAATTTCAACCAAAGTTTTCTTACACAAACCAGAACTTCCCATGAAATATATCCATACACACGCATACACTATCCTTCCAAGCCCTTACCCCAACCCTCTTGTTACCAGATTTCAGCCATTCTAGAGTTTTCTTGGCTTCTCAAATACCCTTTCTTATCTTCGAATCTCCAGCCCTTTACTTTTATTTCATTTTAACCAAAGAAGTCTATGTAAACGTGTGTACATATTTCAAATAAAATATTCCAGGTCTTAAATGTAAGAAAGTTTGACCCCTTCTGTACGTATCCATTCCTGCTCCCAAGACACTACATTTCACAGTTGTTTTCCTAGTAGTTGCCTCTACTAAATGTAGTTATCTTTAAATGTTTATACTCCATGTGTTGACTTACCAATTAGACCAACTGTACTTTCATTCATTTATTACTATTTCTTGGTTTTTAAATTTCTTATACTATCTGTTGACTTCTACTAAGAAATAAAAGGATTTTCAGCTCTCTTTACTACCACTACCACACATGTATACATTTCTCATCTTCTCATCTTCCAAAAGAGTAATGATTCAACTGTTCCAATCTGGAGCCCTTTATGCCTGGGTTACTATAATTGACAGACTATAATATTTGTCGTCATTCTGATTTTTCCTTTCAACTTTCTCTTGCTTTAGATCTCCTGCATTCCTTGTCTTCCACTTGGTTTACTTCCTTGTTTTAAAGGGAATAAATAGGACAAAGGTGTATCTGAGTACATTCTTGAATAACAGCAGGTAGAAAGTAACTTTTTGTGATTTAGTGGAATGGATGTAGAAATCTTTCTTTATTCAAGTAAGGTATAGGAATTCTTTTCTAGCTCCAAAACCATTTTGATCCCTATAGATAACCTTTTTTAAGTTTCTGGAAGCTTGATTCCTAGCATTCTGAAGTTTTACAATAATGTGCTTTGGGTTAAATGTGCTTATACCCATTTTTCTGGGAACTCTGTGGGTTCATTCAATCCAGAAATGTACATCCCTTAGCTGTGGGATATTTTCTTGAATTATCTCTACTGTGTTTTCTTCCACTTTATTCTATCTGAGCTCCTATTGTCCCAATGTTGGATTTGCTAAACTGGTCCTTTACAGTTTCTAGTTTTCATTTTGCCTATCTACTCTTTTTGTAAGTTTTCAACATTATCTTCTACTAAGTTTTTCAGAGGTTTAAAAATTCCAAGAGCCATTGTGCTCTGTGTGTATTGTTTTATCTGTCACTTATTTTGAAAGCATCTTCTTGTCTCTTGGATATCTTGAATGCAAATACCTTCTGTAGTCCCCTGATGATATTGCTAGTTTTATTCCTCAGAAGCTGCTTTATGCTGTTTTCCTATTTGATTGTGTTAGAAGATTTTCCCAGATTTTTCATTATGCTTGGGCCTATTTAACCAAGCATAACCTGTTTAAGAGTAGAGGGTGAAAAGGCTGCTTGATCGATTCCCAGTCAGGGCACATGTCTGGGTAGCAGGCCAGTTCCCAGCAGGGGATGCATGAAAGGCAACCATACATTTGATGTTTCTCTTCCTCTCTCCTTCCCTTCCCCTCTAAAGATAAATAAAATCTTAAAAAAAAAAGGCTGTTTGAAACACATACATGGAGCCTAGTGACCTACAGGCTTTACTGTAGAGACATCAGCATCTTAGTCTTTCCTCTATGTCTGGGCAGACATTTCAGATAAGATTGTTTCAATTTCCTACAGGGCTGGGGGTGGCAGTAAAAGCCTGGCTCTCATTGTCTGGGAACTAGCAGAAAATACACACATAATTACTCCTCCTATTTCCCAATGAGCCTCTGTGCTCAAAGGACTTGGCATCCCTCAATCAAGAAACCCCTGCTTTCCTCTCTTCAGAGAACAAACTAACTGGATGGGCTTTCTCTTAGGAAGAAGGGTTCTAGACTTTTAACAGCTTCTTAAATGGCTTTCAACCAATTCTACTTATTTTAGGAATATTCTTTCCTTTGCCCCCACTAAGATACCAGCTATTCCTAATTCCTTTCAAGGCTCCTACAGTGCAAACTGGATAAGCTCTTGATTTCCCAATGCTGGAATATGATAAAACTGCTAACTCAATCATCATGTTTAATAATAGCCAGCATCCGAAACAGTTCAAGTCAATGTGGATTTGTATGTGAGAAAACCAGTCTCTTTACAGTAGTCTTAGTGGAGTTTTGGGAGTCAAATTAGATGTGTTTATTCCACCTGCTACCTTTCTGGAATCTTTTTCTTTTATACTCCCCAAATGATTCAAGTTCACCTGAAACAACTGGTCTAATACAACTGTGGGTTTAGAGTTATGAGTACAAAAAAGTTTATTCTTATATTATTACTTGTTGTATTATTTTCCACACTAACAACTGTAAACCTACTTTTGGCCCACCCTGTACTTTGGTGAATCTGGGCAAATTGTTTAAATATGTACAACAGGAACCAAAATGCCTGCATTTCCTATCACTTGAATATTGTGAAAAATAGGCAAAATGTGTGTCCATTCAAGAATGTGCTGTATCAACCTACTATGTATTGCTATCTTATAGGAAGATACTATTTCATGAGTAGTAGGGTGAGTTGTTTTTCCATCAAAGATGATGCACTGTGTGATGATCTCTCCTTGTCCTTCTTGTCCCTCCCTCATTTACAAGTGAGCCTTTGGATTAGTAATACAGTGCACAGATTTACCGTATGTTTCTCCATGACAGGTAATCATCCATTCATTTAAATAAAATGTAATAAAATGATAACTTCAGGCTCCTTATGTTCTAACCAAAGCAATGAAGACTTTATGCTGTTTGGGTATGTACTATTGATATATGTGTATAACTGTGAATGAATTTTTAGTATGAATATTTTATATCTCCTTCCAGGCATCCGGATTATGATAACAGCAAGTTATCAGACCACACCTTTCAGAAGAGACAGGAAATTAATATTCCCAAGAAGACAGGAAATTAGATAATACCAGAGAGGGTGAGACATTCAGCTCCTAATTTAAAAAAATTTTTTTGATTTAATACAGTATTATCACCTTCACAGAGTTTGGTAAATATTAAGCTTTCCTTTCGCACCTTCAAAGGCTTAAAGCACCACACGAGTAGCTGCAGGCCACGTGCAGCTCCAAAATGCTTTCATTATAATTTTAAGGCCATAATCTACTAACAACTGGTATTTAGGAACCCTGGATTCTAGTCCCAGCTCTGGATTCTTCTCCAAAGTGGCTGTGTAACCTCAGGCATGATATGGAGGTCTGCTTGGACTGTTCATCTATGAAGTAGTTACTCCTCTCACCATTATTTCCTATTGCTGGCAGAAAGCAAAAGTAAATAGAAGTTATTTATTCACTGAGACAATTTAAGTATATTTTAAATACTAATGTCAACATTCTTTGGTCTGGTCAGCAGAAAAAATTTAGCCTGAATACCCATCAACTGCATGGAAATCTTACCTGTACAACTATCCACTTTATTAAACTATATAGTAACTAAAAGTACATTTAATGTAAATTTATGTACATTACTATACATTACTGTATGACCATTACTGTACATTAAATATACAGTAATGTAAAAGAACATTAAATTTACTTTTCTTTCACCTCAGGTTATTAGGTAATATGACTCCCATCCAAACCTTTTTTTAAAAAAAATCTTTAGATTTAAATTTTTAATGAAAAGACTTTTGGGGTGGAATGTGAGGTATGGAATCATGCTTTTTTTATTATATCGCAACGTGCACTTTTATTATATCAGGATTTCATCTGTAAGATAAAATGATTTTTGTAAAATATTTCATTATTTGTCATATTGATCAGTCATAAAGTGAGCCTTATTGTGCTGCAGCAACTGGATTTTTCTACCTCATCGAAGAATATTTTAATAAATTGTAGTGGTCGTTAAAATGGTTTCAAGGCTAGAATGGAAAGAAGGGGATTTCACATTCTACTTAGAATTACCATAATATATTCATTGGGCAGTATTTATGTATAATCTGCATGCTTTTATCCGTTCTGCCTTGGTTCAAACCCTAATTTTGCCACTGTCTTGCTCTGTGCATTCTAGGCATGTCATTTAATTGGCGTGGGGGAGGGGCGGGGGGGTCAGCTGCCTCATTTCAAATGTGTTGTGAGAATAAAATGAAGTCAATAAAAGTATTCTAAAAAGAATAAAAAAATTACTATACAAATATCGCTGCTGTGTCTAATTAGCTCAATTATTTAAATGCCTGCATGGGGTTGGGAGGACTGGGTCCCTGCTCTTATTTTATTCCATCAGTTTCTCTCTAAACCCCATCCCTTTCACAGAGCCAAAGAAGCCCAAGGATACCTATACATTAGTCCATGTACTTCACTATTACCAGAAATAACCTCCTTATTTATTTTCTCAGGCCCTGCTTTCAACCAGGCTGGACATCTATCATAGTGGAAATTTCAAGACATGTTCTACTTTTAGTGTACCCTATCAAGATTTTTCTCTTGTGAGGCAACATGAAGAACAGAAATATGTCTGGAAGATAAGAATGCGAGAGCCACTGTTCTCTAATGGCTTTCTTAGCCTACAGGTGGGAATTGCTCATAGCCGATGGTCACCACATATGAAGTCAGCAGTTATCGAAAGCACAGAGCCCGATATGCACTCTGCGAGGCGTCATTCTTTAAGTCATCTCGCTGCTAAAGCGCCTGGAAATGTCAGACAGGTAGGTGTTCAGGAAAAGAATGAGAAATTTCTAGTCACAAGTCCCTGTACCTTACACAGGAAACTGACTAGGGGGTGGGGCCGGCTTTCATTCGAGTACTCAGCATCGCTACACGGTGCCAGAGCCCGTGTCTTGTAGAGATGGATGTGACAGCGTTGGCTCTGGTCGAGTGGGCTTTTTTACTCAAGGAAGGGAGAAACAAAAGTGGCGTTTCTGCGATGTGACAAAACAAGCCCCTTACAGTCAGCACATCTGCAATATGCATCCCTCAGGCAGTTTCTTCCCAATACCCTCCCTCAAAGAGAAAGCGTGCGCCCATGAGGGCCCATTACCATCCTGCAGGATGAGGGTGGGCTGCACCGCTTGCACTCGGAACTGCCTGGCCCTCCAGCCAGGGCTGGGAGCCCGCACCACCTCACTGTCGGACAGCCAGGTCACAGTCTCAAAGTTGTCCCCGCGAGCCAGTGCCTCGGCCTCGGCATGGTGCACCGCCACTCTATCAAACTGGTAAAGGCCGCCGGAGTGGTCGAAGTGCACGTGGGTGGCCACGGCCAGCAGCGGCCGGCACCCCGCATCCTCTTTGGCCCTGCTGTCCTGCAAGAGGCCAGAGGAGTACAGGTACTCTGGAAGGCTGCGCAATCCCAGGCCTGTGTCGATTACCACGTCCTGCTCTGAGCCGCGCACTAGCCAGATATTTGCGCGGTTGCCAGACTCGTAGAAGCGTTCCTGAATCCAGAAGATGCCGTCGCCCAGGGACTTGTGGGCGTACCACTCTAGCGCGGACATGCTGGGCAGAGGTGCGGGCGGGCGAAGTGGTTGTGGGCGTGTGTCTCCCGCAGGCTATCCAGACTCCGGGTGCTGCGGCGGCGTGGGGCGATCTACCCACCGCTAGGGAGGAGGCGCGGAGCGAGGCAGTGTCGCAGAGGTAGGAAGAGGGAGCTGCGGAGACACCGCCTAGAGCGTCCAGCGACCCGCTGCACTCTCCCGCCTGTCGGCAAAGAACAGAGGCTGCTCTGCCCACACCCGTGTGCCGGAGCAATCCGAGCCTCGGTAGCCTCAACACAAGGAAGCGTGAACGCCAGGGATACTGCAGCCGACGGGATATTTAGGTGATGACACTTTCGCAACTCCGGGGCTCCCACCGCAGAGGACGTTGGATGCACCAGGTCCGCCCACACACTACGCACAAAATGCGCCCTTCCAGCGGGCCCGGAAAGGTCAGGCCAGGAGAGATTGGCCCACTACGGCGTCTGCCAAGGGCTAAAAAGCTCTTTGCCCAGCGGGCGGAGCTTAGGTAGGGAGTGGGCGGAGCTAACCGGTTGGGGTCGGAACTCAGCTCCGAGGCCGCGTGGAGGGCGGAGCGCACTTCTCCAGTGGTGGAACCCAGCCTCGGTTTGCCGGAGCCTTGTGTCTGGTGCGGTTCTTTGCCTGCCGGCGCTTCGGCTGCAGTTTTGCCCAAGCCTCTGTTCTTAGTGAACAGGTAACAGAATAAGCAACTGAGGACTTGGGAGGAGATTGAGAGGATAGAAGTGAGTTAAAAGGGACACGTGGAGGAGGTGGGGGGAAGTCTGGGTGGAAGTCAGGGTAGAGATTCATTAAAGCGCTCTGGGTTGAGGGTTGTTGAGAAACAATTTTACCTCTAATCCTGTAACAATCTTACCTAGTCCCCTCTTCCGGGGACTGTTTGCAGTGAGAAAGAAATTTATGCTCTTACTGATGGTAGATTTTGAAATCCGTTGAGTATGTGATTGATTCAGGCACCACTCATTGCCGCAGACTTTTTTTCATTGTAGGCACTTTATTCTGTACCTTGAGGAGCGGGGTTGTTGATAAGGTTTCTCTTCCAAAAAATTAAATTCTATATTCATCCTTTTTTTTTTTTTTTGGTTAGTTCACTCTTGGAAGAGAGCAAAGTTGGTAGAACGGCTTAACTAAGGAAAGTGAAGGCAGCCACACTTTATGAGAGAAAAAGTGGATAGTAACTGGGTGGAACCCTGCCAGCCGCATAAATACCCCCACTCTTAACATCAGGTCGCTTCCCCACCCTGCTTGTCCCAGCTATTGAAACATCCATTTAATCTTCAAAAATTCCCTCGAGAATTTGACTAACTTCCCTACTCAACGAGGAAAAATTAGAGACCCATGAAAATAGAATTATGAAAGATAATTATGAAAACTCTTATTGTGTATCTACTAATAAGCCTACATTCGAGGATAGGTGTACTCTCCTCCCCTACGCTCAAAGCTTTTGGTGGGGATGCCGCCTTTGTGAACATTTTCCTAACCTAGTTAGAATTTTTCCAGTCACTCTGTTCAGGACTGTCCTTCAAGTCCCTTAGCTAGATGATGTATGAAAAAACTTGTGGGTTCTCAAGAATATGAAGGAAGACAGTGGGGTATATAAAATGCCTACTGTTAGTACAGTTAATGAAACAAACAACAGAAGTGAAATTCCTTCCCTTTGGAAAAGACCCATTTTCCAAAAGGGCATGTCTGTATTCCCAGTTTGAGGAGTGTAGTTATATGTACCACCTCAAGTTTTAAAAATCCATTTAAAAATCCAGCAGGTTTTTTCCCAGAGCAAGATGGGATAAAATGACTGTTGTGGATATTGGGGGACTTAAACTGGATCTTAAGGTAAAAAGGGTTACAGCCAATCAGGGAGAAAGAGGAAGTAGGTTGCAATGGAGAGAGAAAGGTAGTCAAGAAATGATTCCAGAAGGATGAGTCTGGAGGAAAGGTGCAACCATCTTAAAAGGGTTCTGAATACTTAGGGAGTTTGGATTTAATTCTCTAGCCAAGAGGAAAGATGAGAAGAGTAGCATGATCAGAACTAGGCTTTATAAGTATGAATAAGAACTGTGAATAATGTGCAAGAATAAATAAACAGGAAACCATGAAATTTGTGGTTAAACAAAAATGAGGTAGAAAATGGCTTAGTTGGATTATGATAGAACAAATGGAAAGGCAGGAACATTTTGAAGGAAGAATTAGATTGTTGATTTGATAGGAGGGGTGGAACAGAATGAGAAATTAATACTGACTCACTCAAATATTCAAATATTGGTAACTGGGAAAATAACGTACCATAAATAGAAGCAGGGATCTTATACATAAAAAGCAAGCTAATTAGTGTAGAGGGAAGACTAGCTTAGTATGTTAAGTTTAAGATGATGTCCAGATATTCTTTTTCCCCCTCACTCAATAATAGGTTTTTTTCATTGATTTTAGAGAGAGAAACATCTATTGGTTTGCCTTCGGTAGGCACCCCAGCCTGACTGAACCTGCAACCAAGGTATGTTTTCTGACTGGGAATCAAACCACAACCCTTTGGTGTATGGGATGGTACTCCTCCAGCCAACCAAGCCACATGGCCAGTGCCAAATATTTTTTTTGGTAGTAAGCACATGGGCTGAAGCCAGGACAGAGGTTAGTGCTGTAGGTAATAGTATTGGAAAGGTCATCAAGCCCATAGAGCAAGTGTACTTTCTGAATACAAAAAAAAAGCATGCCCTGGCTGGTGTAGCTCAGTAGATTGAGCGCAGGCCTGTGAACTAGAAGATCGTGGTTTGATTCCCAGTCAGGGCACATGCCTGGGTTGCGGGCCAGTTCCCAGCAGGGGACACATGAGAGGTAACCACACATTGATATTTCTCTCCCTCTCTCTTTCCCTTCCCCTCTAAAAACAAATAAAATTAAAAAATGTTTTTAAAAAAAGCAGAAGACCAAAGATTGAATCTTCAAGAAATTCATATTTAGGCAATTTAAAAAGAGAAGTACACCAAAAAAATGGTCAGTGGGATAGGAAAACTGGAGTTTTATTAAAGTCTAGGAAAGAGAGAGTTTCAAAAGGGAGGAGGAAGTAAAGAGTCACGTGCTTCAGAAGTCCAAGAGCATGAACAAAGACAAAAAGGTCACAAGATTTTTCCATTGAGGACCATTCAGGACCTTTGCATTTCAACATCTTAATGAGTTTAGTCCCCATCACAAGTAAGCTGAAGGCCAAACCCTTCACCACAGCTCTCACAGAGCTCATCAAGATCTTGCCTCCACCAGCCTCTTCTTGCTGCTCATCAACTACATGGGCTCCTTGTTCTTCAGACACTCCTAGCTTGTGGCTCCCTCCTGTGTGCTTGCTGTTACCTTTCTCTATAATCATCTCTATCCCGTCCCTCCATCTGGTAGCTCAATGGCCTTCCCCAGCACACTGCTCAGGTTTTTCCTCCATGAAAAGACCTTCCTTATATGAAAAGCTACTACCATACTTTTTTGTATCAGAATACTCTGATTTATTTTTTATATCATGATCTTTGTTACACCGTGATTTACTTTTTTCAGAGCTGTATTGATATCATAGGGCTGCCATAATATATTACCACAAATTATTGAATAGCTTAAAACAACAGAAACTTATTTTCTCATGGTTCTGGAGTCCAGATGTCTGAAATGAAAGTGTTGTTGGGGTTTGTTGAGGGAGAGTCAGTTCCATACCTCTCCTAGCTTCTGGTGTTTACTGGCATTCTTTGGTGTTCTTGGTTTGTAGCTCTGCCATCACCTTTCATGGTGTTTTCCATGTGTGTCTCTCTCTTTCTGTCCAGGTTTCCCTCATAATGATACCAGTCATTGAAAGAGGGCTCACCCTAGTTCAGCATGACCTCATCTTAATGTGATTACATCTACAAAGAATTTACTTCCAATAAGGAAGGTCACATTCACAGTTACTGGCAGTTAGGACTTCAACATACTTTTGGAGGGGACATAGTTCAACTCAAAACAAGAACATATATTATTTTATATACTTATTTAACTGTTTGTTGTTTGTTCTTTCCTCCACTGAAATTTAAGACCTGAGGGCAACGCCAGTTTAGTTCAAGCAGCCTGGGTCCTGCCACAGTGCTTGAAATGCTCAGGATTGGTTGAATGAATGACTCAGTGAAATTGGCCCACATGAAGTAACGGAAGGTTTGGAGTGAGAAAATGGGGAAACCTAGTCTTACAAACCCTTCATTCAAGAAGTTTGACAGGGTGAAAAAGAAGCAAAGCAATTGTTGAATCAAGTTAAAGGATCTCAAGTAGTTAACTAACCCATGAGATAGTTACCAGAGTCAAAGGACTGCCCCTCAGCTCTGCAAGACAAGAAAAAAAAATGGATTTAGAAGCTTCCCCAGGTACAGGAGAACTGAATCAGGATAATCAAACTAAAGTAGTTGGATTTGTAGGCCAGAATATCGTGTAATTAATCAATCATTAGGTTATCTCAAGAACTAGGACTCATTTTTCTGCCAAGGGCAGTATATTCACTAATGATAGCACTTAAACACCCAAAGGTTGCTTGATAAATACAGAAGTTTAGAGACAGCAGGTGTTGCTATTTCTCAAGTGATAGTCCATCAAGCTATGGTAACAAATCAACTCTCTTTCTAGGGTGACTTTTTTAACTACTTCTCAGGGCCCACCTCTGAAAATTCAGCTGTAGTAGGTTTAAGGACTCAAGGATCACTTAGGACTCTGTTTAATAAATCTTGCAGGTAATTCTCATGATCTGGGAAGTTTGGGAGACATTGTTCTTAATCTTTAATTAGTGGCAAATCTTGAATTGGCATTCTGCCTGGTGGTCTCTACCATATCTACTGGGTTCCCCTAATCCATTTCTGTTTAGCAGTATGCGTACTTGGGAGGCCTGCTCTCTGTAAGCTCAGCATATCCTTTAATGACTCAGCAACTGAAACAAGGCCATTTGGATACTTTCCTTCTCCTTTAGTGTGGGCAGGTAAATGAGCCTGGTTATTAAAATAAGCACCTTTCCTATATGAATTGTATTTCATAGTAACTAAATAGTGAATGGGAGGAACTTTACACTAGATGAATAGACTGACAGCACCTGAGCCCACTAATCAGAGAACATCACTGGGACAGGTACTTCATGTGTGTCCTGATGTGATGTAGTAGTAAAATCAAGCATCTCTTAAGTATTCCTGCAAAATATCAAACCCCAATTTGAGTAAGCCTCCAGTCTACCTGTTCATAAAAAAAAAATGGGGACTATGCAGGGTAGTGGTGGGGCGGGGAAGGCAGAAAACTGTACTTGAACAACAAAATTTTTTTCAAAAAGAAAATATGGGGAATAGAGGAATGTGTTAAACCACATCTCATGTATGCAACCATTCAAATCCAAACTGGGACAATGTACGGCCTTCCTACTCAAGTCTTAAGTGTGGTCTGCAAACCAGCAGCATTGATATCTCCAGAGAGCAAATTGGAAATGCAGATTCTCAAGCCCCACCCAAGGCCAATGGAATCAGAATCTGCATTTTAACAGCATATCTGGGTAATTGACATATAGAAACATTGTACAAGGACCTCATTTTTTAAAATAAATAAATGGCAAGGGAAAAATGGGAGAAAACTGTTAGTGGTAGAGGAGGGCATGTTACTGCTTTTTGAGCTTACTGGGTTGAACAGTACTCAATCTTATCAGTGGGGAAAGATTTTAAACGTGTGTGTTATAATCTTTACTACAGTCAAATGCAGAGTTGTAGTGTAATAGCCTTAGTGTAGGAAACTGTTAATACACTGCTGGCTCAGTTACCATGTTATGGTGTAATCACATCTTAGACAATTCAGACGTTCAGAACAGGACTTGAGTAGGTGAACTTGTTGAAGCGAGTACAGGTGTATCCTCTACCTTTAAAAATTTCAATTTCAGATGTTTTTCTCTAAACTTACTTATTGATGTATTTGCTTGAACAGACCTCTTCAGAGTCTTCCTGAACCTACTCCCATTTCTAAAGGCAGGACACTGGACTTGATCTCTATGATCTTTTCTAACATTCAAATTCTAAGGAAAAAATCATTAAAAAATTTAAGGTATGTATGACTGCTGGTAGTCTTCAAGTTGAATGTAAAAGCAAAGTGTCCTCTCTTCATCAGCCTGAACTTGTCCACATTTTTACATGTATCAGAGATCTTGTTGCCAAACCACAGAAGAGTGGAGAAGATTGCATCAGCTGACTGTGCAGTGGTTGGGAGGTGTCTTGAAGGAGACCCACGGTCAGCCTCCACCCCAAGACCTGGTGAGGTAGTTGAGGCAATCATCATGACTAGATTGAGGGGTTCAGAGATCAATTTATTGCATGCTTATTTCTCCCAGAAGTGTTTAAATCGGTCATGCTACTTAAGTGTGTTTTGCTTAAGTGTAATGTATTTTGCTTTAAAATGTCGGTTCCATTTTTCATATGATCCAAACTAAATCTTAATCATTAATAGTGTCTTTCAGAATTTGCCCACTTTTCTGGTATAACTAGTGGCAATGGCTGGGAATAAAGGAAGAGGACGGGCTGCTTATACCTTCAATATTGAGGCAGTTGGATTTAACAGAGGTGAAAAGTTACCTGATGTAGTATTGAAACCACCCCCGCTATTCCCTGTAAGTACATTAACAGCAGATTTTTACAGTGTGTTTTTTTATGTTTCAGAGAAAATTAAAAAATTCTGTATAGGACTTGAATATATGATATGATTATGATATCCTAAAGTACAAGAAAGTAAGAGCATGCTTCACTTACCTTTAAATATTTCCACTGTTCTTCCCTGAACCTTTTCTAATTTTTCAGAGTGCTGTCTTAAAACACAGAAAACAAAATTGTTTACATACCTTTCCATGAATATATTTCAGTACTGTGTGAATTAAGGAAGAATTTTTTTAATTCATGCATCTTACATCACTATTGATACATTACAATCTTAAAATAATATTTTTTGCCCTGGCTGATGTGGTTCAGTGCATTGAGCACCAGCCTGTGGTCTGAAACATGGCTGGTTTGATTCTTGGTCGGGGCACCTGCCTGTGTTGTGGGTCAGGTCCCCAGATGGGGGGGGCGTGTGAGAGCCAATCAGTGGGTATTTCTTTCCCCTTCTTCCTCTCGCCCTTCCCCTTTCTCTAAAATAAATTAATTAACTAATAAAATTTTTCAAAAGATGAATTTTAAAGCAAAGGTTTTACAGTGGTCCTCAGTTCCCATTCTGCTAGACTTTCACTTAGGATTTTCTTCTCATCTTGAATCTATAGAATTTAATTTTGCTCCCTGTTCTACATTTGGCCTTTCTTCCCACTGAACTTTTTTTTTCTTATTTGCATATTTTATTAAAGTAAATTTAAATTTTGTTAGTTACTCAAAATGTAAGTGCTCCTGCTACATTTAGTGTTGGTTTTAAATTTATGAATATGCCCCAAGCTTAATTGGCATAATGTTTAATCTAATGCTTTTTTTTATACATTATTTAGTTTAAAATGTAAGCTGACATTTCCAGATGTGCATGAGCTGTAGTATAAAAAAATGAAAAACTCATAAATAATCAGATCCTCCCTCCAGGAATCTTTTTCCTACTTCGAAAGGAAAAGTCCTTTGATGAAAGATTTATGGAACTAGAGGACCTGGACAAATATATCTGGGGAATCTAGATATATTTGTCTAGATGGGGAACTTTCTGCTCTTGATATTTTGCCTCTCTGATAATTACCACATCTAAAAAAACAAAGATAAATATCTCAGGTATAGGCGTAATGTCACTTTATGTTTATTTCTTTTTAAAACAAGCTCCAGTCCATGTGTGAGATTACTTCTAAACACTGAGACTATTAGTACACACTGTTTCACGCATGGAATAAAATTGATATTCCTTACTACTGAGTAAGAGGCTCTCTCTGGTCTAGTTTCTCTGGCCCTTTCCTACCACACTGTACTCTCTCCCTAGCCATCCTGGCCTTCCTGTTCCCTCAGGCCTTTTCCTCTGCCCGTTTTCCTGGCTGGAGCATCTGTTTCCCAAGTCTTTGCATGGATGGCTTCCTAATTTTTTCCAGCCCTCTGCTTAAACGTGATTTTCCCGGGTGGTCACACATGCTTACCCTGTGTAGACCCTCCACCTTCAACCTCCACTCTTACCTCTACCTGGCTTCATTTTTTTCAGAGCACTTATTACTACTCAAATTTACATTTTACCTTATTTGTTTATTTGTTGTATTTGTCTCCCCTAGAATGTAAGTTCCATGAGAGCAGGTACTTTGCCCAGTTCATCATGGTATATCTCCTGTTGTCCAACCATGCCTGGCTTATAGTAGGCATTTAATAAATAGTTGTAGCATTAATGAATAAATTTGGAGTGAAATTTTGAAAATGTATCCTAGACATAGCCTCTGAAAACAGAGATGTTTTTGCTATACATCCTGGGGATTCACTTTTTTATGAATGTATGTATTATGCCTATATGCACGTACATACATATATAAATATATTTGTGCATGTAATTTTTTAAAACTGAAGATGCACCTTCATACTCCTGCTTTACATGTTTATTGGCTTATAGATTGTTCACTTCTTAATTTCTTCACTGTAAATATTGATGATACTTGAAATGACATTATGGATGTTGAACACTGAGTGCATCCCAGTCATAGTAACCACTTGCTAAATGATAGCTTCTGCTATTACTTTTTTTGTGCTACTGTTCCAAACAATACTACCACCTCTCATCGAGGTCAGTAGGAGACTAAAGCAGTTACTCTCATTTGGGTGCCTTGATTTCTATAATATAGTATCTTAGCAAACAAACTGTATAGCAAAATGATTATTTTATAGTCAGAAAAATTAGGGTCAGTGGGAAAATTAACCATCTTTCCTACCTCTAAAATAAGAGCAAATGGGCTAAAAGGTTAAATAGACTACAGAAGCTCAACAGATTTTAAGTTGATTGTAAAACTTAGTTACCCGTAAAATGTAGTTTTTCAATAAAACTGACATTGTCCAGAATATAGGCAAAAGGGATATTAAAGTATTTTTTAAATATTGTCTCTCAACTTAAATAGGATACCGATTATAAACCAGTGCCACTGAAAACAGGAGAGGGTGAAGATTATATGCTGGCCTTGAAACAAGAGTTGAGAGAAACTGTGAAAAGAATGCCTTATTTTATAGAAACACCTGAAGAAAAAGAAGGTGTGTATTGGACTCTTCGATTGTGTTGTTCATTGTATACAGATGAAACAGTGCTTCGGCACAAGTTACATGGTCATGTAGTACCCATCGATTTGATTCAGCTGGCAATTAACTACCTTAGAAAGCATATTTATGTTGATTTAACAGAAAATATAATTTTTTTGATATTTATAAAATTACCATTCACAATAGAGCTTTTGTATGTTCAGTGAATATTAAGAAAAACAAAAAATACCTAAAAAGTAAAAATCACAATGTTTCTGTCCAGATTAAAGTACTGTTAGTATTTTACTGTATATTCTGGATTTTTTTCTATATGTGTATTCTTTTTACAAAATTGGATTGATAGTACTTTGTGTCTTCCTGATTTACTCACTAGCATATTATTAACATTTTTACATATTCTTAGTGTTCTTGGAAAATACAATATTTAATGACTCTATGGTATTCCATAGGGGATATAACATTAATTGTAACTAATTCCCTGTTATTAGATTTAAGGCTGTTTCTGATTTTTCTTTTCTTGTGTATAATGCCCTGATTACTATCCTTATACAAATATCTTTATGCAGGTCTCTGATTATTTCATATTTTGGTTAAAATTTTTAAATGCCTTGACTATATTTTGGCTTGTAATTTATATATCAGATATAATAGACTATAAAACACAGATTTATTGGTTATGCTAAGGACAGAAAGGAGGTTCAGTTGGAGAAGGCTTGACAGTGAGAATGGAAGTGGGAAGCGGTTTTAGAAGAAGGGAAGCCATTCCTGTGTGGTTATTTAGCACAGCAGAACTATATTGATTTTTAGTTTCTTCCCTTGAATGTTGAAATTAGAGACATCAATATCATTCTTGAGTTCTCAAAACAACATCATTAAAACATGAGAAACTCATAAACTATCTTATTCCATTAGTAATAAAATGCATTCCATTTTCCTTCTCTCTAAAAGACAGAATTGGCTAAGAGTCAAAAAACAAGTCTTATTTAACAATATTACATGCACTTGTAATTATAGAAGCCTTCTAGACAAGTTCATTTAGTTTTTCAAAACATAACTGCTTGAAATTACATAATGGTTTGACAATAAGAGATAATTTTACCTAAAAAATACTGATTTTTTTTTTTACCTCAGAAATACTGAATTGAATTGTTTTAACTTTCTTAACTTTTAGGGCTTTTAAAAAAGATTTTATTCATTTACTTTTAGATTCCCAGTCAGGGCACATGCCTGGGTTGCAGACCAGTTCCCTGCAGGCCAGTTCCCAGCAGGGGATGCATGAAAGGCAACCATACATTGATGTTTCTCTCCCTCTCTCCTTCCCTTCCCCTCTAAAGATAAGTAAATAAAATATTTTTTAAAAAAAGATTTTATTCATTTACTTTTAGAGAGAGGGGAAAGGAGAAAGAAAGAGAAAGAGAAACATCAATGTGTTAGAGATATATCTATCTGTTGCCTCTCATGCACCCCCAACTGGGGACCTGGCCTATAACCCAGGCACATGCCCAGACTGGGAATGGAACCAGCGACCTTTCATTTGCAGGCCATCACTCAACCCCCTGAACCACACCAGCCAAGGTGTGTTGTTTTAACTTTTGTGATTATGTTCATGCTTTTTTACCTTTGGATTTGAAAATGAAATTAAAGCTCTCATTTTAAAGACTTTAAAAAGCAGGAACTAATAAATGAACAAATGAACTAATAAATATTCTTATTAGAAAAATAATAGTGTAGGGCAGGGATGTCAAACTCATTTTCACCGGAGACCACATCAGCCTCTCGGTTGTCTTCAAAAGGCTGGATGTAATTTTAGGACTGTATAAATGTAGCCACTCCTTAACTAAGGTCAAGGAGCTGGGTGCTGCCGCCAGGTAGAAACAAGGTGCCAGGCTGGATGAAACAAGGTGGACGGGCCAGATTTAACCCATGGGCCTTGTGTTTGCCACCTGTGGTATATGGTATACTTTAGTTTTTTTAAAAAATAGTTTTTCTATAGACTGTGTGACAGATTTATTTAACTACATGTGCTTGTTATTAAAGTATGTGTCTAATTTAAAAGTGTATCATATCATTAAAATATATATGAGTCTTTTAGACAGGCACATTCTTAAGAACATAATTTTGTTGCTGGTTTCTGGGAGTGGTTGCTTTATACCTGGATCAAGAGACTTTATCTTTCATAACAGCACAATAAAATACTTAAAAATGTATGGAATTTTTTGCTTTTCTTTTTTTGGAAGAAAAGGCATAAAATTTTCTAAATTGATACAAGTACATTCTCCTTGAAATCTTCATGTTTACTTCTTTTTCCTGATGTAATCTGTTTTTTAAAAACTATGGTTGAAAAGGAAAGGTTTTTAAATGTAATATGTGTATACATATGTGTGTATCCAGGTTAATATAATACCTACTATACATAGGCATATATACACACACATATATAATGTTTATATAATATACACACTATGAATGAAAAAGAATTGGCCAGTCTGAACAGATGTAAGCAACTGTCAGAGGGAGACATATCCGGATAGTGTTACATCACAAGCCTTCTCCCATCTCGCCAATTATGTGCTTTGGGAAGACTCATGTAAACTATATGCATTGTAGACTAATGTAAGGAACTAAATACTAGACTAGGACAAACAAGTAGGTAGGAAATGTCAAGAATTCCTGATAAGCAAGTGGCTGATGGCTCAGGGCATTGAGATTTGTCACAAAGAACGGAGGGCACAGAATCAACATTTCATGTTGTGATGTGTTTGAGATTTGTTTAGAATGTTTCATGTAGAATTACAAAAGTGAGTGGCATTGTGTTTACAATGAAATTTACTACTTTATAATAAAGATAAAATACCAATGAATATTATTTTACTGAATATTTAGCTGCAAAAATACATAGAGATCATCTGATCCAGTGCTTCCTAGCTCAGGTTCCTGAACCACTGGAGTTCTCTAAAGTGGAAACAAGAGTGACGGAAGTGATGTTCTATAAGCCATTTCAGAACTTAAAACTTCATGGAAATTATACGTTTACCTACAGTGTGGCCACAAGGTCTTTTATGAAATAAATGGAGTTTGTTTTATTAACTCTTTCTATACCATTAGGCTCCATGTGACCCTGTTTTAATTTTTGAGTTTCTTTTTAAGCAATTCTTACTCTATGCAAGGGTTTATGTTTATAATATTTTTATAGGGATCTTCCAAAGAACAAAGAGGATTTACTTTAAAAAAGAAAAACAAAGACATTTTATCTTAGCATTACCAAAAGGATTATTTAATCCTTTTATTAATCTGAAATATACTTGAGAATCTTAGTGATCTTATTTTCCTGTCTTGAAACATTTGGGTGTTTCATCATTGTAGGTATTATTTCATCATTCACCCATTACTCCTCCCCATGATGAAAAAAAAGACTGAGATATGAAAAAATAGAAGAATGCTAAAATTGCATAGAAGGACTATGCAGTATTGAAATAAATCATCAATCACTATTACATCATCCTTTAGTTTTCCTATTGTGTTGTCCAAAGCATTACATTAATTTTTAAGAAGATAAAAAAGAAGTCTGGAGAGACTCTTGTTATGTTGTGTGTCTTTTAGCTTTTATAGAATATAATTAAGAACTTCTTTATTTTCTGCTCATAATAGCAAAGAGAACAAAATTGAGAGGAAGATGTTTTACAGTGACTATACAAATCAGGAGATGAGTGCAAAAAGACAGCAGCTCTCTGGTTGCTTAATGATAATGGCAAAAAATGATTGTATAAGCAAAATCTCAGACCAAGTTTTCAGTTGACAAAATGTCCTAGATGAATTTTCTCAAACTCAAGAATCAGCAGTAAACAATATGTTTCTAAGGATGAAGAGGATATACAGTATTCCCATGTAGTTAATCTTTGCAAAGCATGTCATCTCATAATATTTTGTGATAAGAATCTGGAACATTCTATTTGCTAAAATGACATGAGCCCATACTTTTTTATGATATTAATGTACCAAAATTTATGTGCTGTAGTTTGTAACTGGACAAATGCTGAATGCAAAGACAAAGATGTCTGAAAGGAAGCAGGTTATGTTGAAGTGAAACAATTTAGTGGATTGATCATGTTAATTGATAATTATAAATTTAATCATGAAACTGTTTTGCAATTATAGACCGGAGAAGATGGCTGGCCCATCCTCTCTTCAACAAAAATATGAGCCATCAAAAATTTTTATATTATTACATTTTGATGGTGCAAATACAAGAAGTATTGGAAGTAATGATAAGCTAGAAGCTATTAGGAATGTGTTTGTAATTACAGTTATTAAGATGGTGCAAGTGTAAGAAGAAGAACCAGAAATAATAAGTTAGCACTTATTAAAGATGTATTTGAAACCTGGAGTCAGGATACATGAAATGCAGATATTCAGGGTCTGTGTGTGACAAACCCAGAATGCACACTGATGCACAGTTAGTTGTACCCAAAGGGTGTTGCTCTTTTTGGCTAAATATACCTTCAAAACTAGGAAAATAATGGAATATAAATTTAGGTTTACTATACTTAATTTCTTCTTAAAATTGCCAATAATTTTTGTTCTTTTCAAATAACAGCTTTATTGAGATAAAATTCATTTTTTAGGTATACAATTCAGTGGCTTTTGGTGTAGTCACAGGATTGTACAACCATTCTACTATCTACCATATTTTGCCGTGTATAATGTGCTTCTGCGTATAATGCACATCCATGTTTTTGTGCACTTTGTACATGAGATTATTATACCCATGGTATGTCATCATTATGCCCATGTGTAACGCACATCCTTATTTTTCCCTCAAAAATTTGGGCAAAAAGTGTACATTGTACGTAGTAAAATACAGTAACTTTTAGAAGCTTTCTATTGTCCCAAAAAGAAACCGCATATCTGATGGTGTCATACCCCCATACGTTCCTCCCCCCAGCCCATGGCATCCGCTAATCTGCTTTATTTCTAGTGATTTGTCTGTTCTGGATATTTTATATAAGTTGAATCATATGTGTCCTTCTGTGATTGGCTTCTTTCACTTAGGATGTTTTCAGGGTTTGTCCATGTTATAGCATGTATCAATGCTTTATTTCTTTTTGTGGCTGAATAGTAATCTATTTTATGCACATACCACATTTTGTTTACCCATTCATCAGTTGACAGACAGTGGGGTTGATTCCAGTTTGGGGCTATTATGAGTAATGCTGCTATGAACATTTGTGTATACATTTTTGTGTGGACATAAGTCATTTTTATTGGGTATATATCTAGTATCATGGTAACTCTATATTTAACATTTTCAGAAAATTTCATACTGTTTTACAAGGTTTTGCACATTTTTACATTACCAACAACATAGGTATAAAGTGGTACATTCGTTACTGTGGTATTGATTTGAATTTCTCTAGCGACTAATGATGTTCACCATCTTATCATGTGTTTTTTGTCCACGTGTCTCTTCACTGGAGAAATACCTATTTAAATTATATGCCTCTTGTTTTTTTTTAAGTTCCTACATTTTATTGTGGTGGTACAATATTTTTTTAATTGTTCTTCAAGTACAGTTGTCTGCATTTTCCCACCACCACTTCTCCCTGCCCCACCCACCCCACCTCCCACCCTCAGTCCTTTACACCCCCATTGTCCTTGTCCATGGGTCCTTCATACAAGTTCCTTGATGGCACTTCCCCTTCTTTTCCCCGTTAATTCCACACCCTCATTTACTTTATTCAGTTCATTCTTTATTTCAGTGTCTGTGGTTGTATTTTGCTTACTTGTTTTGTTGATTATGTTCCACTTATGGGCAAGATTATATGGTAATTGTCTTTTGTCATATATGCCTCTTTTTGATTGGATCCCAGTAGATGGTTTTTAGTATCTCGTATTCAATACATTATTGGAAAGTAACTTAAAAATATAAAAACTGGCTCATTAGACCCAGATAATAAATGGTAATAACTGCTTTCCTTAGTATATTATGGTTAATTTTTTTTTCAAAATATGGAATTCGTTTTGGAGCAAATTATAAAATGCAATACTGGGAATCTCTCATTTGTGCTGACTTCTTTATAGATGAAAAACTTGACAGCAAGATTAAAGTCAAACAGTTAAATACCTAGAAAAGCCTGGTCTGTTGGTCTCTGATCTGCTTTGGTTGTCTTTAGTTATCTTTGTCTGACACCCTGGTCTTAGTAGTATTTGGAAACATTTTTTTCTAAAGATTTTATTTTTTTATTTTTAGAGAGAGGAGGAAAGGAAGGGAGACAGATATCGATGTGAGAGAGAAACATCAATCGGTTGCCTCTTAAATGCACCCTGACTGGGGACTGAACTCACAACCTAGGCATGTGCCCTGACCGGGAATTGAACCAGTGACCTTTAGCTTTGCAGGAGGACACCCAACCAAGTCAACCATACTGGTCAGGGCTGGAAGCATTTTCTTAACATAGAAGAAAAATCAGTATATATTTGGGTCTGGATTTTTATATTTTCATCTTTTGTGTTACTTTCCCTTTTTCACGGCTCTAGCTCCAAAACCATTTTTTCTGAAGAACCATGGTTTCATTTTATTGCATTGTGATGGTGCTTGGGCCCTCATCAAAGGAGTTTCTCGTAGTAGTGGACAAAGCAGACTCAGGAGACACTTGTGGCTCTTCCATCTTTAGCAAGCTCAGAGGGCCATGGCAGAGTTCTCAGTGGTTGCCGTGGAGGGCTTACCTGCTCATGCATGGCTCCGTCAAGTCCAACCTTACTTGCTCCTACCTTTTTCCCCACTCCTTGCCCCAATGGGTTGTGGAAAGTAGCTTATTAAGAAGCCTAACTGGATGTGTGTATTAAGTGCTGGAGGAGCACAAACAGCTCTCCCTCCCCACTTGAGGTACTTAATATTGTACGTCCCAGTTACACAAGGTTTAAAGATTGGGAGCTGGAGGGCAGTGTCAGCAGAAGAAAACAAGATGCTGAGTAGACCTCCTTGCCCTTTTATGTCAGTGGCTTTTGGCTCTTCTGTGAATGCCCTCAGAGTTGTCAGGTTGTTGGATTCTAAGAACTATAATGAGGCTTCGGGTTTCTGCTCACCACTTTTGTTAAATGTAACACTCATTGAACTCTTCAGTATGTGTTCAGGAATACATTATGAACAAGTAAATGCAGGAAGTTCCCTGAATGTGAAATAAAGGTATTTGGTATTTGCAGTTATTTTAAAGGAATGGCTTAAATTCACGTTTATTCTTGATTTTTCTAATGAACACTTTTTTCCCCCCAGATATTGAAAGGTATAGTAAAAGATACATGAAGGTGTACAAGGAAGAGTGGATACCAGGTAATTGTAAAGCTGCAAATGTTAGAATGATATTTAAAGGCTTCTCCCTACCCCATATTTTTAGGACAAGTTTTCTGTTTCACTATAGCAAAATATAGTCTGCCTGTTTTTCTGCAATTAATTAGTAATATAGATCTCATGAAAACTAGGATGAAAAGATGTTTATACTATAAGAAGGTAGAGTTTAAGTATTTTGGGGGAAGTTCTTAAAATACTTTAAAAAAATTAAACTAGGACTTGCTAGACCCATTTGGGTTTTCCATTTTCATTTGCCAAAATCATAGTTTCAGTCTGTAGTACCAGTAGTACTCAGTTCTGTGCTCCTGAGTGATTTTATAGCTTTTGAAGAAAAAACCAAATCTAGTGTTAAGGATTTTTAAGTTAAGTTCATGGATCTTTCTTTCAAGCAGGCATAGACTGCTTTTAGTTTAGTTGTGAGGATTCCTTTTCAAAAGAACCATACCTAAAAGCTTCCCCCACTCTGTCCCCCAATGTTCACAGTTTTGTATTAGATGTATAGAAGGTGGAAGGGGCTGGAGAGATCTCATCCAGCTCATGTATTTTGCAGAGGAAAAAAAAAGGTCGCACTGAAATAAAGTGACCTGTCAGGGCAACTCAGATAGTGCTGGTAGAACCTAGGTCTCCTCGTTTTAACTGATTTCCTTTGACATCTTTGTCCTTGGTGTTCTATATGAATTGCCTTTATGTAAAAGCATAAATGGCATTTTCAGCATTGTTGCTTTCATGGGTTATAGTGCTTTTTCTTTTCAGTATCGATTGGTCATTGGTAAGGTTGGGTCCCCTGGAAACACTGTCTTAGATCTCTGATTTTTTCCATATCATGAATATTCATCTTCTAAATGATTCTTGTTATACATCACATACTTTCTCATGATCATCTATGAGTTGTTTTTATAAAAAAATATACTCAAATTTATTAATTCAGATAAAATAGCTTGAGATGTAGATGTTTTCTACAAAATACATCGAGGTTTTATTTTTTTATTTAGCAGGCAATATTTTTTAATCCATTTTTATGTTGCTTCATTTTTTTTTTTAACTAACTCTATGCTTAAACATTAAATGGAAATAATAAATGCAGGAATTATTTACCTATGTAGGCAAAATTATTTGTTGGAGGGAATTTTCTTTTCCGTAGCTATTTATATTTTTAGTTTTAAAGTTTTTAGATAATTATTTAATTTTGCATGTGTTGGCATTGTGGTCACCTGTTTTAACTCTTGAAAAAAATTCTTTATTACATAAGAAATATATATGTCAACTACAGAAAAGTTATATAGAGTAATCAAATGATAAATAAATAATACTTGGGAAAAATAGCTGTGTTCCTAACACCCACAAATAATTACTATAATATTTTGTTCCCAACCTACAGCTTTCTCTGCATAAATATATATGTACAGGATGGGACAAAAGTAGGTTTATAGTTCATTGTATGGACAACAGATACCATAATTAATAAATAATAATATAATAATAAACTATGTACTCAAAACTGTAAACCTACTTTTGTCCTACCATGTGTAAATATTTATGTACTAGGTTTATTTCTAAATGGGATTCTAAACATATTATTTGAAATGTTTGAAAAACATTTTCTATTGAACAATATATCATGAATAACTTTCCATGTTCATCCATACCCAAAATGTTTCATGTAGAAAAAATATTTTTCTATATTTTCTTGTTATAGAAATTTGTTATTCAAATTGATTATATAACTACTGTATTTATAAGTAGCTGTTAAAAGAATATTACAGAAGTTTTATGGCACTATTTCAAAGCTATTTTATTTATTATTATTTTCAAAGTATATTTTATTGATTATGCTATTACAGCTGTCCCATTTTTTTCTCTCCTTTATTCCCCTCCACCTTTCACCACCCACCTCACCCCCAGCATGTCCCCCCTTAGTTCATGTCCATGGTTCTTTGGCTTCTCCATTTCCTATACTATTTTTAACTTCCTCCTGTCTGTTGTACCTATCGTTTATACTTCTTATTCCCTGTGCCTTTTCCCTCGTTCTCCCCACTCTCCCTCTACACTGACAACATGTGATCTCCATTTCTGTGACTCTTCCTGTTCTAGTTGTTTGATGCTTTCTTTTTGTTTTTGTTTTTTTAGGTTCAGTTGTTGGTAGTTGTGAATTTGTTGCCATTTTACTGTTCATATTTTTGATCATCTTCTTTCTCTTAAATAAGTCCCTTTAACATTTCGTACAATAAGAGCTTGGTGATGATCAACGCCTTTACTTTACCTTATCTAGGAAGCACGTTATCTGCCCTTCCATTCTAAATGATAGCTCAAAGGTATTTTAATGAATACTTTTTCTTGATAGTAGAAAATATATTTTTGTTATATTTTAATTTTCAGGCTAAATCTGTATAATCAGATATTAAAAAATTTAAATTCAATGCTTGAGCCACTGTTATATTTTTAATAGGGTGCATCTAGTACCACTAATTTGTAGAAGAAATTACAATTTTTATATTTCTTCTTTTGTACATACAGATTGGAGGAGACTCCCAAGAGAAATGATGCCAAAGAAAAAATACAAAAAAGGTATATTGACTAACATAATAATCCAGGTGGGAAAGGGTTATTGCCTAAATTCTATCTAGTATAGAAGTATCTACCTGAACCTAGCTTAGTATTATGAATGCTTTTTCTTAAAATATTTTTGGCTTTTTGATGATTCTGCTATAGCTCTTTTTTGTTGATGTGTTATTACTTTTTTGTTTATTTTATTTAATTAATGGAATTTTGATGTGCTAGGAAAAACTTTTCAATTATGTAGATAGTTTTATTTGTATATTTAAAAATTTCAAAATGGTTACATTGCCTGATGTTTAGTTTTTAATTGAAACATTCAGAGCTGGTAAAATTTGGGGGCTGGCAGAATAGAACTTGATGTTTTATGTAAAATATTAAAGTGAAAGTTTCTGTTGTATTTCACTTTCATAATTCTACTGAGTAAATAGTGGTTGAGCATCCTTGAATGTGATTTTCTAGAATAGCATATATTTATTTGGCCAGAGGTGGAAAAATAAATCATGTTAATGCTTTGGGGTTAAGCCAGTCTTTTGACAGATTTTGGTAATTTGACACTTCTCCCTCAGTTATGCATATAAGGATTTGGCATTATATAAAACCAGAATGATAATTAGCAAAAGATCCTGAATGGACTTGAGTATACAACTTATTTCTTGGCTAAGATATTAGTAATTTTAATAAGTGTATATATCTGACCATGTCCTCTAATATCCATTTAACAGACTTATGTGTTATGAAATTTAAATAATTTGATAAAAGATCCTTAGAGAAAAAGACTTAATAGTGTGAGTAAATTACATTCTTAGCTAATTTTATGTCATCAGTATTATATTGAGATCTTGTTCATTTATGATACTGTATTTTTATGTGTTATGGTTCAAATTAAAGTCTTTGCTCATGAGGAGGACCAAGAAAGTTACTTGTCATTAAATCTAACCATTACTTGTGTTTGAGCAAAACCTCACTAATGTGTATTTTTGAGAGTTCTGAGCTTGGTGACTTCCCCCAGGAGCAGTTTGGAATAATTCAGTAAATTATAATTTCATTAGTTAATTGGTCATCCACCATATTCTAAATTTTTTTCTTCTGTAGGATAAATGTTAATCTTTAACAAAATTACATCTTTCTAAGCCCTATTTTCTTCTGTTACCAGGTAATTTCTATGTACATAGCTTGATTGTGGGAAAGAACTATAGTACTTTTTGATCACAGCGACCATCTTGTAGCATATCATAATGCTTAGGTAACTGGCAAGATCTATATGTGAAATAATTTTCTATTCTCTGCAGTTTCAGAATAGCCTAAAATGCAGTATTTTTAATGTGGCTTAAGTAACTATCCCAAACCTGTTAACTCATTTTATTTATATTACTTTGAGTTTTCAGATTCATTCATATGATGGATATGTTCACTAGGTTTTAATCTTCATTCTAAGTATAGTGCTATGTTCCACTGAATATAACCTCTTTCTCATTAACTGTTGGCAAATGCATATTTATTCTGCACTTGTTTTTTATTTTTCAAATTTCATAAAATTGCCATAATTAAAATAGAGTACACTGATCAGAGAACAGGAAGCCAATGCAGATGATATATTTGTGAGAGTTTTTCACTAGTCCTGTACTGGTTCTGTCAGAAGTAATGTTTTAGCAGTTTTGACCTGAATGACTTTAATTGCTAGTACAGATTTTCAGTGCTAGTAAAACTATACATGGTTGCATTCTTAGAAAGTATCCTATTAAGTGTTTATAATTTATTTATCATGGAATCTTGATGAGGTATGCTGATTTATTTTGTTTATTCTTTAATGAAGAAGCCAAAGAACTTATACATACAACCCATGGATATGAACTGAGGTGGGGGAATGCTGGTGGGAGGGTGTGTGCAGGGCAGAGGGGAAAAAAGGAGAGAAAAAAATGGGACAACCATAACACCATAATCAATAAAATGTATTAAAAAAAGAAAATTCAGTCTGCAAATTATGTGACTGCCTGGTATGACATACCACTATGGTAAGCAGCATATTAAAAGGCAAAGAAATATATTACACTATTACTGTTAGAGAAAAATGTATTAACAGTGGTTTTAATTCAGCAGGTTCAAAATCCAAAAAGGTAGACAATACCAGCAAAGACACTTCACTCACTAATACTGCAGATGTATTGAAAAAAATTGAGGTAAGGTTTTCTTCTGACCGTAAGAGTGAACTGAAAAGTTGTCATACCTCCTTTTGCCTTCTTTGGCCTTTCTGCCTTCTGTCCCTTTGTAATAACGTGGGTTTGCCAGATCCAAGCCCAGCGCACAGATGATTGGAAAGGTTTGATCATTGTTGGCTGGGAGATAGGGGGCTCCATCCTGTCCTCCTCTACTGCTCACCTGTCAACTTGCCTCACCTTCTGTCACCTGCTTCCTTTTTCACTCTACCTCTATTTTCCCCTTGCATTTGAATTGTGCATGGGAAAGAAGTGAGTTACAACCTCAAACGGTTTTCTTTTTTTTCAAATGGCTTTCTTGTAAAAACCTTTTCATCGTTCTCCTGTTGTTGCATGTATACATTTTTTAATGCTTTCCCTCTGTTGCATGTTAAGTGTAGAAGATTCTGTTGAGGGAAGACCATAACTTGTGGAACTTACTTTTATATCTTTTTTTAAATATTTCAAAGACAAAAGATGTAGAATTTCAAAAGTTTCATTAACTGAAGATTTATCCTCCCATTCCGTCCCCTCCTGTAGACAACCAACATTACCAGTTTCTTATATATCCATCCAGATATGTTTTATGCATAGCAAATACAAAATTTTCCTCTTTTTCATAAAAGGGCAAAAGGTAGCCCATACACTCTTGCATTTTCATTTTATCTCTTAAAATATCTTGGAGATGGTTCCATGTCAGTCTCTGTAGACTTGCCTCCTTTTTTAAATTTTGGCCACACTATAAAAATGAACCATAATTTATTTAATCAGTAGCCTACTGATGGACATTATGTTTCATGTAGTATTTTATTATTAGAAATAGTGCTGCAAGGAACTATGTTAAGTATATCATTTCACATGCGTAGGGTTAATGTCTAGAAGTGGATTTGTTGGGATAGTTGTTATACATATTGTATAGTACAGATAAATATTAACAGGTCACTCTCCATGAGAGGTATACCAATTTTATCAATATGCTTGTATTACCTTGCCCCGATGATGATGATGATGGTGATGATGATGATGATGGCAGCTAGCACTTACTGAAAGCATTATTTACCAGGCTCTTTGATGAACTATTTGTATTCCTAAAGACTTCATTTCAACAAGGAGATATGAATATTACTGTTCTTTACTTACAGATGAGATAGATTAAAACTTGAACTTGTCTAGCCAAGTTGGCCAGCTACATAACAAGAGAAACTTGTATTTTTGTTACAAGTACTTCAGCTAGAGATAACATGTCGGAAAATAAAGCCAAGAAAATTGTTGAAAGAGTAGTGTTAACTGTCAGGTGGAACTGTGATGGAATGATGGATGCGATTGTGGACCTAGCCAATGTGTATTGAATAAACACAGATTCTGACTGTTCCTAAAGCTTCCTGGAAAGACGTTCCTAAGCTGACATGTGCTATAAGGAAGATTGATTTGGACCTCTGAATGTGGTTTCTTGTCAGAACAAGTTGTGTTGCCTTATTCCTTGCATTCGAGCACCTTTTTCAATACAAACATTGTTAGGACTGGCGTTTTAAATCTAGAAATCCCAATTTGTTAGCAGTTTTAATAGAATAAAATTAGCTTGCATATAACTCTATTACTGTTCATTTCTTCAGCAAAGCAGTTGCAAATTTTACTATAATAAAATTCCTGTGGATAGAGGAGTGACATACACTCAAATCTCATAGCGTGTGAATCACCAGACACCAGTAAACTAGTATTTGAGCTTCCTACTTCCACATGACATACAAGGAGAACTATAATAGCCACACAGTATATAAACTAAAAGAAATGTACCCTGTCCATAAATTAACCATTTTAAAAGTGTTTTCTCATTATGTAATGTGAATTACATTCACATTATTCTTAAATATGTAGAGGGCTAAATAGTTAAATCTCATAGAGGAAAAAATGAAGACTAGTAAGTAGATGAATCAAAACTAGTAGCTTAATGCAAAAAGAAATGAATAAGACTGTGTAGCTCTTAGATCATTTTTTAAAAATTGTGTAAATTTGCTCTTTGTTAACTAGTTTAGATGTTTTATGGGTTTGCTCTAGGTCTATGTAGTAGAAATCAAGTTGAGGTTATTTATTTAAAGGTATTTGAGGTGGCAGTGGAAATGAAGCATGGAATGAATTTTACATTTTAAAAATATTTTTACATAACTAGTTTAAATAATTCCACTGCTAATTATGAAATAGCTAATAGCATGATTTTCAAACATAGTGTATATCTTGCACAGAGTTAAATGTAGCACTACAGTCCCCTTTTAACCACACAAACTTAATAGGTTGTAGGCCTTTTTACTATGGTCATTAAAATAGAAAAGAAAAATCCACATATTAATGTTCATTGAGGCATTTTATTTGTAGGTATGTCTTACATAGCCAGGAAAAGAATTCCGGGATTTTTCTCTCCTGTGTGGTTGCATCTTGCTTCTTCATGATCCATGATGCCCACTGAGGTTGTCAGTACAAGGAAACCAAAATGATGGAACAGAAGCAGCCTCTTCTGCCATTTTTCTTGATCTTTGAGTGGCACATCAAACCTGGGCCTGATTAATCCACACTTGTTTAACATGCCTGTGAGGTTCACAACAACTTCCTCAGTTCTGTGGTCATCGGTAATTTCAAAATTGCCAATGTAAACATGTTTCATCATCACTTTAGAAACCAAACAGTGACTTTGGAACATGGCCTAGTAAGAACCTGGTGTGTGCTTCTCTTTTTCACATTGTTGATTACGTGAGAGCATGTCAGGATATTCATGGGCACCATTATGGTGGCGAGGAAAGACGGTGGAAAGAGTTGTCTCTGTGTATTTATAGACACTTCAAAAGATCTGTAAATACTATTTTGTTTACTTGCTGTTTTCCAAAGCAATGACATTTGGAAAGCTTGCACACATTTCTATTGTAGTAATACATTACATAAGGCAAGTGGATCGGTATGAGGATGATTATCTTGGTCTTACTGTTTTTGTTTCAAACAAGTGAAGTGACAGTAGATTTTGAAGTTTGAGTAGAAACTGAGTTTATCTGATACGGTCTTTCTATTGCCTTTGACTTTGTTGAATTCAAATTTGAATGTAATAAAAAAATTTAAATAAATATCCAAGAGCCAATAAAGGAGTAGCCAAGTTGTAGTCAGTCCCAAATGTGTAAAATTGTTTTACCTCTCAATGTAATCTACTTAGCAAATACCTTATCATAGGAAAAAGTATTTGTGGATTTATGAATTAGTGTTCTGATTTCTCTTTAAGAATATTCACATCTTAGCTAAAGCGATCTTATGCCTTAATTATGAATATTAATATGTGAGATTATTGCTGCACCCACCTCCTAGAAAGCTTGTGAAAGCCTATCACTTGTGCAAATTAAGTATAGAATAATTTAGTGAAAAAATAGTGACAGTAATGAAAACAGATTTTTTTGTCAAATAGAAGAAAATTGTTTATAGTCATAATAAGAAGAGGGTATATTAAAGTTAAATTTGTGTGTTAAAGTTATGAGATGGTAGCATAGTGATTTTAATAGTGTGGATAAGTAGAAGCACCCAGAAATAAACACTTTTCTTTCTTTTTTTTTTCTTTATATTGTTGTTCAAGTGCTGTTGTCTCCATTTCCCCCCAGCCTCCCACTCCAAATCCTTCTCTGCTTTGGCTTTGTCCATGGGTCCCTTATATGTGTTCTTTGACGACCCTTGCCATTTCCCGCCTCATTATTCCCCTCCCCTCTCTCCTCTGGTTACTTTCAGTTTGTTCTTTATTTGTATGTCTCTGGTTATATTTTACTTGCTTGTTTGTTTTGTTAATTAGGTTCCACTTTATAGGTGAGATCATGTGGTATTTGTCTTTCACCACCTGACTTATTTCACTTAGCACAATGCTGTCCAGCTCCATCCCTGCTGTGGGGAAAGGTGGCAGCTTCTTTCTTTCTGTTGCATAGAATTCCATTGTGTAAATGTACCATAGTTTTTTGACCCAGTCATTTACTGATGGGCACTTGGGTTGTTTCCAGCACTTGGTTATTGTAAATAACACTGATATTACCATTGGGGTGCATAGGTTCTTTTGAATTGGTGTTTCAGGATTATTAGGGTATAATCCCAGCAATGGAATTACTGGGTCAAAAGGCAGTTCCATTTTTAGTTTTTTGAGGAAATTCCATAGGGTTTTCCATAGTGGCTGCACCAGTCTGCAATCCCACCAACAGTGCATGAGGGATCCCTTTTCTCTACCTGGCCAGCACTTGTTGCTTGTTGATCTTATTGTAATGGCCATTCTGACCCAGATGAAGTGGCATCTCACTGTGGTTTTAATTCGCATCTCTTTGGTGGCTAGTGTTGCTGAGCATCCTTTCATGTGTCTCTGGGCCCTTTGTAAGTTCTCTTTGGAGAAGGGTCCGTTCAGGTCCTTTGCTCATTTTTTTATTGGATTGTTTGTCTTCCTGGAGTGGAGTCATGTGAGTTCTTTATATATTTTGAAGATCAAACCCTTGTCTGAGGTATAATTGGCAAATATATTCTCCCATATAGTTGGTTCCCTTTTCATTTTGCTGATGTTTTCTTTAGCCATGCAGAAGCTTTTTATTTTGATGAAGCCCCATTTGTTTCTTCTTTCCTTTATGTCCCTTGCTCTAGGGGACATATCAGGGAAAATATTGCTGCGTGGAATATCTGATATTTTCCTCTTTGTTCTCCTCTAGGCCTTTTACAATATCACGACTTATACTTAAGTCTTTTACCCACTTTGGGTTTATTTTTATGTATGGTATAAGTTCGTGGTCATTTTTTTTACATGTCGCTATCTAGCTCTCGGAGCACCATTTGTTGAAGAGGCTGTTTTTACTCCATTTTATGTTTCTGCCCCCTTGGTCGAATATTCATTGACCATAGAGACATGGATAATATCTGGGCTCTCTATTCTATCCCATTGATCTGTGTGTCTGTTCTTATGCCAGAAGCAGATGGTATTGATTACAGTGTCCTTGTAATATAGTTTGATGTCAGGGATTGTGATTCCTTCTCTACTTTGTTCTTCTTTCTCAGAATTGCTGCCATTATTCAGGGTCACTTATGGTTCCATATAAATTTTTGAAATGTTTTTTCTGTATCTGTGAAATATGTCATTAATATTTTAATAGGGATTGTGTTGAATCTATACACTATTTGGGTAGTCTGGGCATTTTGATGATGTTAATTCTTCTAGTCCATGAGCACAGTATATGCTTCCATTTCTTTGTGTTGTCCTTCATTTCTTACTTCAGTATTGTGTAGTTTTCTGAGTATATTTACCTTCTCAGTTAGGTTTTTTCCTAGGTACTTTATTTTTCTTGTTGCTATAGCAAATGGGATTTTTTCCATGATTTCTGTTTCTCATATTTCATCATTGGTGTACAAAAATGCCTTCGATTTCCGAATATTGACTTTGTATCCCACTGCTTCACCCAATTCACTTATTAGGTCAAGTAGTTTTTTGGTGGAGTCTATAGGATTTTTCATTTACACTATCATGTCATTTGCCGACAATGACAGTTTTACTTCCTCCTTTCCAATTTGGATGCCTTTTATTTCTTTTTCTTGTGTGATTGCTGTGGCTAGGACTTCCATAGGTACATTGAATAGAAGTGGTGAAAACGAATATCCTTGTCTTGTTCCTGATCTTAGTGGTAAAGTTTTTCGTTTTTGCCCATTGTGTATGATGTTGGGTCTAGGTTTTTTATATATGTCCTTTACTATGTTGAGGTACACTCCCTCTATTCCCACTTTGCTGAGTATTTTTATCATAAATGGGCTCCGTACCTTATCAAATGGTTTTTCTGCATCTATTCAAAGCTTTTCTAACTCTGCACCTCTCTTTTGCCTCCTCTTAAAGAGTTGTTTATAAGCACTAATGTTGACTGTGACTTGAGTTTCAGTATTTCTTCTTTCTCACCCTACCAGATATATTAAAAAGCAAAATTGTCTAGAAATGGGAAGTGAGTAATGAAGGAGAAAAGAAATGAAAAGACATGAATAATCTGCAAATAGGATAACTCACTGCAGTATGACTTGATATTGATTTAAATAATATCAGGTATAAACTAAAATAGACATTTTGAATTACTACCATTACATTATTTTTTCTCCTATTATGTTAGAAGAAAAACAAAATAACATTCTTGAAGTTCTTCTCCATACACTGAGTCAATTCAGTATATTTGAATGAGGTGTGTTAGAAATAAAAATAAAGCACTATGCATAGAGCTGATACCCCAGCATTACCTGGGGTCCAGTTACAAAGTAACAAAATAAAATACTACTGTCATGATGGGACAGTGAGTTCCTCCTTTTTTCATTAACTCACAGTTTCCTATAAGATGTTGGTAAGGGAGGATTAGAATAAAGTGATAGGTAACAGTGTTCTCTTGAGGCTTAACAGGGAGGTCAAAGTCTAGAGGTTTCCAAGTAAGTTAATGAAGCTCACTTATAACAGGAATTGGAAAAGAGAGGTGATGGTGAAAAATCAGATGAGGAAAATGAAGAGAAAGAAGGAAGCAAAGAGAAAAATAAAGAAGGTAATGAAGATGAGGAAGATGATGCTGCAGAACAAGAGGAATATGACGAAGAAGAGCATGAAGAGGTAATGGTCTATTTTGGAAAGGTAACAAAGTAACTAAGGTTAACAATTATCTAAAAAGAAGTCGGGTATATAATATAGATTAAAATGAACAAACAAAAACCAAGTTGATGAGAACGGGGGCGTACTATCACTGTCATCAATTCCTTTGTATCAAGAGAATTATTATAGCATTGACGTTATAGCGATGCCAAGTTGAATAAGACGTGAAAGTAATTTTGAGAAACAAGGTGCACTTCAGAATAAGCTGGAGTCTACCCAGATATTTTTGAACAAGGTAACGTGATTGGTCACTCCCTCACTGGGACTTTGTAGAGACCTCATACAGCAACCCTAGGCTGAGTTTCTTCTGCATTTTAGTGGTCTTTGTCTTCGTTCCATTTCAGCTTCTCCCACCGCACTCTGAACCTTTCTTCTCCTGAAGCTCCTCCAACTATGAAATCTTACACAGTTTAATTATTTCCCATTATATTTCAGATTCTTTTGAAATTTATATTGGTATAAAGGGAAAGATATGGATCTATTTTTATGTTTCCAAATAAGTTGCTAACCTCATTTATTAAATAATTTGCTTTCTTCGTTCATTTGAAATTCTTCTCTATCAACTGTTAGATCCCACAACTAGTTAGATGTATTTCTAGACTCTGTTCCATTGATCTGTTTCTGAACCATCACAAAGGTTCCAGTGACTAGAATCTTCTGGTCATTTGTTAATATTTTTAGGGCATGTTACCCTTCTTTTTCAGGATTTACCTGGGTATTCTTTGTTTATTTTCCCAGAGAAATTTTAACTAAACATTTTAAAATTAATCATATGCATTTGTCTCATTTTCTTTCAAGATTGTTCAGTTTATGGCTGCACTCTGCCTTGATTAAAACTACCAAACTCTCTGATCCTTTTTTCTCTACTTTATTGGTTCACTGTCTTCATTTCCTTCCCTAAGGAGCTCTTGCTCACCTTTCAACTTCTTTCTTGCTATTGCTCTTGTCTCTTGGTCTCCCAGCAAATACTCTAGACCAAAGCAACTTTTGATCAATTGTATTGTCTCCTTCTTTTCCCCTCCAAACCTGCTTATTGAGCTTCTCTAAGGAATCACATAAACTGATGCCACTTAAAAAAAAAATCACTCATCCCATTTTGCTTGCTAACATGTTTTCAGTTTCTCTTGCCAAGTCAATTCTCCATAAGTATTTTAGATTATCTGTCTTCATAACCCCCTCCTTGACTACCTTCTCTTTCACTTTTAGCAGATATAGTATCTTCATACAGAAAATAATGCCGTCAAAAGGAAACTCTTTTATTTCATGTCCTCTGCTTTCAACGAACTGTCTTCCCTTCTCCTCCTCTTTTTTATCAATGGAAGAATTGTCCTGCATCCTATTTGAGGCCAACTTTCCTCCCCTTTGGGGGACCGTACTCACGTCATTCATCTTTTCATATTTTTAAGCTCCCAGCCACGCCATGCCTCCCTCAGGCTTCAGGCAGTTTCCAGACTTGTTGGGTTTCTTGGCACCAGAGAAGCCAAGCCAGCTTGGCTCAGCCAGATACAGAAGCTTACAGTATGTAGGGAAGACACAGTAATGAAAAATATATCTGAATAATACAAGTTACCTTTCTTGCATTATTTATATAAATGTATATATAAAATCCTACCATCCAGATACTAAGTAAGTCCATATCCAGGAGACTTTCTTTTGGGAATAGTCTCTATTTCTTACTCTGTAATAATTCTTGTCATAAACAGTAGAGATGTGGAAATTATTTTTTTATATTGTGACTGATTTCAATCATGTACAAAAATCTAGTAACTATTAAAATAAACAGCCCAGCTTTAACAATGATCGGTACACAGCCAGTCTTTATTTACATCACTCATTTATCTACCCACTCTGCTCCTGTCCTTCCACTTCAAAACCCGTCTGCCGTGGATTATTATAAAGGAAGTGCCAAGCATTGTATCATTTCATCTATAAATATCTCGGTATATACTCAAAAACAAGGGCTCTTTAGCAATATCACAGTAGCATTATTATACCTAACACAATGAAATATAATTCCTTAATATCTTTAAGTGTTATATAAGCCAATGTCCCAATTTTTTCAGTTGTCTCAAGAAGTTATTCCAATGAAAGTCCAAATATAGTCCATATACTGCAATTGATTGATTTTCTTAAATATCTTTTAATAAATATTTTAAATGGATTTTTGAACTTTTTGATAGCAGAAATATCTTGAGTGATTTCCATGGGTAAAAGTCTTAAGAATTGGAATATTCTCAGTGGCTAATCCCTCTGAATCTATTGGAAATTGAATTGCCTTGGATGGAATGTGGTACGGCATCCTCAAGTTGTTTTTAAGATTTTATTTATTTGAGAGAAACGGGAAAGGAGGGAGAAGGAGAGGGAGAGAAGTATTGTTTGGTTGCTTCTCATTTGACCTCAACTGGGAACCTGACCTATAAACCAGGCGTATTCCTTGACTAGGAATCGAACCAGCAACCTTTTGGTTTGCAGGACCATGCCAATCCACTGAGCCACACCAGTCGGGGTGGAATCTTCAAGTTTTGATTTGGTTTCTTGAGCACTTTTTTTTTTGATAGAAAGCAAAAATCCCTGTGCTTCTGCTCAGTAGTACATTGTGATTGAAAACCTCCATTCTGATGTGGTCTAATGTTAATGTAAATTGGCTTTGTTTCTTGAGTGTCTGTACCTTTGTTTGAAATAAGTGTTGAGTGGTTTAGCTAACTAAACCATGTATCATCCTACTGAGGTGTAATTAATTAAATGGGTCATTGTCCTAAAGTGTACCGGGCACCCCTTCGTGTCTTATTAGCTGGCTGGGGTCTGAGAATAGTGAGAGGTAGTGGCCTTGAAGAAAGCAGTACAAGTAGATGCAAGTGAAAGCTAATGAGGTTTCTAAGCAGATGGCATAGCAGAGACTTGTTTTAAGCCTGGTATATTTTATTACCTACATTAGGTATTTATAAACTTAAAGGCACAGCCTACATTATGTTCCTTATTAATGTTACTATTCATTTATCTTAATGTTTACTGAGGAATCTATCATTTCACTTAGGAAAATGACTACATTAATTCCTACTTCGACAATGGAGAAGATTTTGGCATAGACAGTGATGACAACATGGATGAAGCAACCTATTAGCTATAAAATTTCTCAAAAAATATTTTTATGATACAGCTTCTGAACATTGGGACAGACTTATTTCCTATTTTATTTCTGATGAGGAATGAGTAAGTATTTTATTTTTGTTTCCGTTTTGTTGGACAATATTTGTTACCAAAACATTCAGAAACACTTTGAGTTTACATACTAGTTACTTTACCAATAAGTCTCTGACACTCTGACATTCCTTCTTAACACTTCTTTATCCCACTTAAGTATTCAAATGACAATTTCATTTTTGGTATTATTTGTATTAGAATGTGCATCTTTTAATCTGTGTTTATACTTGAACAAATTATTCTTAACTGCTGACCTCATCATAATAGATTTCTATAATCTGAAAGTTGATAATACTGCACATGGAGCACTTTAAAAACAAAGAAACTTGAAAATAATTTTACTTTTTATCTTTCCATGGTATCTTCTATGCTACTATATTATGACTACATAAACCTACCTAAGCTCTTACAAGTGCATATAAGGAGTTTAGTGATCAAAAATATATACAAGGGAAAAAGCCAATCGGAGCTGTATAAACTTCACAGCTTACATCTCAGTCAGTATAAAGACTTGGAGTGAATATTAAAAATACTTGAATTTGGGGTTATCTTCATATTATGCAATATATGAGTTCATCATCTCACTGTAATAAGTTTTATGTTTTGAATAGTTGAGCTTATAAAAAATTAGCCAGACATCTTATTTAAGTTTGTACTTTACAAAAGTGGTAAGTTCTAGTCATGTATATCATCTCACTGTAGAATGCATGTGTGAGAGCTGTGAGATATAATGGCCTCTTCTATTTCAAAGGACCCATTGCTATCTAATTGATTTATGTAACAGTGCAGAATAAAACTCAGGTCACTTTGGAATTAAGATTAATCTTTTTTTGTTTCAATTAAAAACTAGCTCCCCTGATGTTTTATATTGGGAGTGTGGGGGGATACCTAAAAACCTTATTAGCCTTAAACATTCACAAATGCCAAAGATTTTGAAGGGAATTCATATTATGTACTTCAAAAATAACTTATTAATATTACCGACCAAAGTCCTGTCTGGGTAGCTTATCCCTATACATCAAGGTCGTGGGTTTGATCGATGATGCTCAGGGTGCATAGAAGAGTTAACCAGTGAATGCATGAAGAGGTGGAAAAACAAATTGCTGTTTCTCTCTTTCCCTACCCCCTTCCAAATCAATAAATAAAAAATATTATCTACCAAAAGAAATAAACTTATTTTTCCCTTTGGGCAAGATATCACCCATTACTCTCTAACCTGTGGATCAGAGCCCTAGACTCTATTTCTATCTTTACAATTAATAAACTCAGTCTTGAAATTGAGCTTGGTTTTCTGTGCCTTAGTTTCTTCACTTGTGAAAATTTTTTATAACAACTGCTTAAAGACCAACCACAATTGACCATATGCATTCATCATCTTAGCATATAGAAAGTCAATTGTTCATTTAAATTTAGTCTGGCCATCTAAAAAATTGTAGCTTATAAAGTGGTTGAAAATCCTGTTTTGAGAAACAAACATATGTTCCTCACAAAATACGTTGTGATCTGATTTTCCCATCTTGTATTCTGGTGGGGAAATTTTATATATGTAACATAGCTTCCTCAGGAAAAAGATCACTTTCAAATGTAATACTTCCTCAGATAATTGAAGATGGGTGTGAGGACCATTGTTAGTTCAGTGCTTTTGATCAAATGTGAATTAGTTTAAAGGAGCTTATAAAAATTTTTAAAGATTCTAAATAGAAAATGAATATAAAATAAGTCTACTTTAAAGCAGCAATCTACTGTACTTACAGTAAAAAAAAATCAGTTTGTCGTAATAGGCAAATTGTCATTTAGGACTGATAGTTAACATAGGTGTTTTATTCTTTCAGCTCCATTTATAAAGTTTTATGTCTGTAATTGTGTATTTTGTTGTAAATCTGCAGATACTGCTTCAACAGGGCAAATACAATAGATACTGCTTTTTCCCCTTCCCCTAGCTTTTAATCTGCCTCCAACATTTTAGTACTGCAGATGGTAAGAGCCCTTTGGGCAGCGGTCTCCCCACTATGTGTATTCATTCTCTTTCCTTTCTGGAAAAATCTCTTTACAAGTTTCAAGTAGACTAATTGTAAGAACAGGCCGGAAGTATTTGCAGATTTCTTTGCCAGCATGAATCTTGTTTTTGTGGCTTAAAATCTCAGAGACTGAAGTTCTTCTATAGGAAGGTAACTTTTAATGCAGAGATAGTGATTATATATAAAAAAGTATATACTTGTCAGTGAAGTCTTTAAAATTGCTACCTGAAAAACAATACTGTTGTGTTACTATAATGCTTTTCAGTATTTGTTTACATATTAAATTTTTATAAAGTAAAATTGTGTCCTGTTTTACATTAAAATGTTTTACTTTGAATCTACTTAAATATATTTGATAGAGAAAACTAATTTAATATAGATTTTACCTGGTAAAATAACTCTGTTAAGAGGGATGCCACTATCTAATACTCTTGAATAAACCACCAACAAAAGGAAACTCTAGGTGATTGAAGTCGTGATAAGAGATTTGGCAGTGTATTAGCGCCATCATTGGCATGGTGGATGGACTCATGCTGGATGCGAGAGCACAGTAACACATTCAGAGGACACTATTGGTGGCTTGGCCTTAATACGATATGGTTAAAAGCTCTGGAATCAGTAAAAACTTTTTTTATTAAACAGTTAATACACTTTTGAGATTGAGATGAATGTAAAAGTAGGGGGGGAAGGAACACAGTATTAAATCCTCCATTAAAGAAAATATCCAAAGAACTTTTTCAGTGTTTGCTACTGTAATTTTTAAAAATTAATAAAGTGGAAAGTTTTTTGTTTCATAAAGAATTTTACATATAAATAGAGCATATCTTTTTTATTGATCCACAAGTTGCTAAGAAGTCCTGGACTCTGCCTAAGGAGTCTCGTTCCCTGAGATCCAAGATCCTTCAAGGAGCATTCATCTGAAACTTGTTTTTATTTCATTGCACTTACATCCTGTAAGCAATCCAGAGGATTGTGTTTCAGTATATAACAAGGGAGACGTTTGAGTGGGTAAATCTTTGGCAATTCAACTGTCTTTATATCAAGTAGTTTGACACAAGAGAAAAAGTATGCTTTGCTCAATTAAATTCACCAGCTTCCATTTTAGATTGAATAAAATAGAAACTTTATTTTGAAGAGCTTTTAAAATATGAAAAATAAGGGGCAAAAAGATTTATAAACCAGTTTTACAAATGTACATGCTAACAATGTTATATAAGTCCATCTCACATTTATATAAAATATATTACACAAAGAGTTTACAGTGTTTGTATATATAAAAAGAATTAAATATTGCATTCAGTTATTTCTATGGTGTAACAGTGCAATATGCACATACTTAGAAGAAAAATAATAACTTCCTGAGGAGCACTGTTGTAATTCAGAATGATTCCTATCACAAAGCACCATTTAAATACTGCAAAAAACTCCACCTTTACCCTGTAGCACTTTGACTGGACCGTTGCTTCATGGTATTTCTGTATCCTTCATATTCCAAAGTAGGTAATTTTAGAAGTAGGTATCTTTAAAAAGAACTAATTATTAAGTAACAAACCATTACGGATCCTTTCAATAACTCTTCAGGCCACTGAATAGTATAATAGAGCCCAGAAAAAGAAAAGCTTTAAAAAACAAAAAATCCCGTGGATAAGTTAACATTGCAGTCTTCTAATTCTTAATGTGGCTGGCAGACTCATAGTCAATTTATCTTAAATGGCCTTTATTAGTTCAAAACAAACTTGACCATTTGTACCCAACCAAAAAAAAATTGCCCCCCTAAAAATAGTAGATTTTGCTTCACTTGTAACTCCCAACTTTTAAGTGAACCAAATGCAATGATTTGCAGTTCTGTTAATTTTATACTTGCATGCATGCATATATATCTGTATGTTTTTAATATGAAGCCTCAAATTCAGATAAGGGTTTTAACACAATTAAAATTCACAATTTTTCTTAGTTTATTAATAGTTTTCCAAGTAATCTGCATTGGCTACAAATTTCGATGTAATTAGTACTTTTTAAAAGCAAAAATTATATTAAATGCTTAGGAATTTTTTCTTTTAAAAATGACACAATTAGAATCTATAATTCTATACATAAAACAGAATTATATAATTCAATTAAAAATATATAATTCAGATATACAGAAAAAGGGAACTGCCTCCTTCAAAGAACAGGACATTAACAAGTACATAGTACACCTCACTACTTTAAAAATAACTTATCCTAGAAATCAAAGTACCATTAGCAAGAAGGAATCACCGACTTTAGGCAATTTCATCAATTTGATGTAAACAAAATTCTTCACAGGACATTTGGCTTATTCTACCCTAAAATACTCTGTAGTTTCTTTCCTAAAACTTGATTTTTCAGCAGGCATAATAAATATGATGTAAACTGACAAAGTTTAACATTGAGCATAAATTAGACCACACTCTTCAAGATGCCCAAGCTACATTAAAACAATATTTTAAATTTTAAACTAAGAGTTACCAAAAAAAATCAATTTGCTACAATTTCCCTATTAACACTTTTTGGTAATTATCTAAGGTCCTCAAAACATGCAATGGCTTTAATATTTGACTTGTGTCTCTCATACTTTGCTACCGAAGGTACATAAAACCTTATTCACCATACAAATTTATTCACCCCACTTTGTATCAAGACTGAAGTTTGAAATATAAAATGGTCAAAGAACTGAAATAGTATTAGGAAATAATGCCGAAAAAATAAGGTGGTATTACAGATCTCAAGGTACTTTATTATACACAAAACAGGCCATCCAGACTCCACCAGATCTTGCTTCTAATGAATCATTTTGGTTACATTTTTAAAAACACGTATTTTAAGAAATTAAATGATAGAATCAATATGCAAAGGCTTATCTAGCAGATCCACAGCAGACCTTAAAAACTGACACTATCAAACCCTTTAACCATACACCTTTGGCTTCTGTTACCCAATTTTATGCTATAGTTCAAAGGAAAAAAAGGTCTAAGTTGGACATTTTCTCTGTCCGACTTAGGTGGACAGAGAAACAGGTGAAGGGTTCAATAAATAAAGCAATGCGTCTGTTGCTGCTGATGTCAAAGGTGTCTTTACTCCTGCTTTTGCTTAATGAACCATTTTCTGCAACAAACCTCAGAGGCAGACAATGACAATTTGTTTTAACCCCATTAATTTGTGCTTGACGGTAAAAGTGGAGATGAATTTATACAGTCTGTTATAAATCCTATTGGACTGTCTGAAAAAAATGCCAACTTTTAAATCTAAAAATATTTGCTTATGTATTTTGTAAGGCATTAAATGTAATTAAGGCATGTTACCACATGTAACATAGCACAGTGTGTAGGGAATTATTTTCTAAATAACGCTAACCGGTACATGTATAACAGTCTTCATCAAAGAATTATAAAAGTGCTTTCAAATACCAGAGGCAAGTTAATGGCCTAAAAATCAGAAGCTGAGGCAGCATTCTTTAAGAGACAGAGATTACTTTTGGTTCTTTACCTAATCCAGTGTTCCACTGACTAACTGGCAAGGTCCCAACACTAACATTATTTGGGGGGTTAAATATAGTATTTAATCTCTATCTGGGTCTCTATTACACACTACACATTGCTTTCCCACTCCTGTGTCTATTTCATGTCTGTCTTCATAGCATATATGCTAAACTTGTCTTCAGAAAGTTTTAAAATGGAGTATTAAGTATGTGCTAATTTTAGAATCAAACTTTTTTAACTAAATACTTTAATGGTTCACATTAGTAAATATTCTTCAGTTGCATGTATCTGGTGGTATTATTCTGCTTACTAAACATTAATAACCTTAAACCAAAAACTAATTATTTAAACATTAACCAATCTTAAGTAGTTTTCCAAGCTGAGAACTTCCTGGACACAATTCATTTCTGCTTAAACATTGATAGATAAAAAGATACATAGATTTACTGTTCTGAATTATCAACTAGCAACTGCAGGGATTTTATACTCAATCCATTTGTAAATAGCTCAAAAGTGAAAAACAAGCATCTTTAATCTTCCTTAATTCTGCCTTTGAAGTGGTTATCGAATATAACTGATTCACCACATTCCAGAACATGTGATCGCAAACATAATTATGAGCTGTTATGTTTTGTATTGAGCAGCAGGAAACTGAGAATTATGACTATAGAGTTTATGGTCATCGTGTTGGCCAAAGGGTATTCCTTTAGTTGGAGCAATTCCATTTTCCATTTCTCTCTGCGGTGATGGGGGTGTGACTCCTGAATGCAAATGTGAAGAATCCACTGTTGAATGATGACTAACGTCCACTTTAGCTAAAATTTCATAATATAGCAAATAAAATACTGGCGTTATTATACCCACTATCAGCATTATCACCACTGCTGTCCACCACCCTATTCCCCAGTCTGCTCCATAATAAGGATCCTTACATTGAATGTTTTTGTGATCAGGTTCAAAACGTACTTGTTGTGCTGTTAAGGCAGACACCACTTCATTAAGGTTTTCTCGTTTGGTGTCTGTACATTTTACTAATTGTTCTATGTCTCGGTCTACTTCTTTTAAAAAGCTACCAGCTGACTCAGTGGAAGAAAGAGAATCATTAAGTGACAAAATTTCCTGTTGTTCTGGAACGTATTGAATAGATGAAGGACGTGAAGCCTGTCTTCCTTTTGGAGGATGAAGTGTTTCAGTCAATGAACTAAACTTTTT